TGTTTCTTTGTCTAATCTTCTCTGTTTTCTCTTTGCCGGGACTTCATCGTTGGAGATGACGGAATAAGGATTTGGAGGCGGCGGGCTCTTCATCGTTGGATGACTTGGAGGAGGCTGGGCATTTTGGATTGGAACAGCATGCCAACAACGCTGGAATGGAGGTTTTTCTTTGTATTTTTTTTATGTTAGGTCTCAATGTTATATTAGTTATTTATTGTTTTTTATTTTGTTTAGATTGTTAGTTTTTGTTGTTGTATGTTTATTAGGTTGTTATTATTGTTATTTGCTTATTTTGTTCTTATTATAGTTTTTTGTTAATGAGGGTTGTAAAAGTTGTTAATTTTCATGTTTTATTTGTTATTTGTTGCAATAGGTTTTTAATGTTTTTGGTTATTGTTACTGTTAAGTTTTAGCTTTTGTTAGTGTTGTTAAATTTGTTATTTTAATGAGTCATAATGTTATTGTTATGATTGATAGATATTTGTTATCTATCAGTATACAAGTTATTGGCTATTGTTTTGAATATGCTAGTTAGGTTATTGGTATGGGGATCATTCATTGTTATATTTACATGTATAGGGGGATATTAGTTATTTATGATGTTATAGTTATGAGTTTTAGTTATTTGTTATTTGTTTGAGTTTTTATTAGTTGAAATTGTTATGAGTCAGTTATTTGTTATTTGTGACAGTTATGAGCATTTGTTGTTATTTGTTTTAGTAAGTTGTTATTGTGACACTTGTTATGAGTTTTAGTTGTTCTGAGTTTTAGTTATTTGCTGTTGTTGTGATATTGAATCATTTGTTATTGTTATGAGTGTGTGTTTGTTTCTTTGTCTAATCTTCTCTGTTTTCTCTTTGCCGGGACTTCATCATTGGAGATGATGGAATAAGGATTTGGAGGCGGCGGGCTCTTCATCGTTGGATGACTTGGAGGAGGCTGGACATATTGGATTGGAACAGCATGCCAACAACGCTGGAATGGAGGTATTTAGACATTGTTAAGGAAAAGCAGAGGTGAGATTGTTTCATTATTATTTTTGCACTCCTACTAAGTACTAACATTTCCCTCCCCTCCCCCACTCTCATCACTTTTTTTATAGTTGTTCTTTCAATTTGGTTTCTGTTGTGTTTTTGTTTCTTTGTCTAATCTTCTCTGTTTTCTCTTTGCCGGGACTTCATCGTTGGAGATGATGGAATAAGGATTTGGAGGCGGCGGGCTCTTCATCGTTGGATGACTTGGAGGAGGCTGGACATAGCATGCCAACAACGCTGGAATGAAGATTTTTCTTTGTATTTTTTTTAATGTTAGGTCTCAATGTTATATTAGTTATTTATTGTTTTTTATTTTGTTTTTTGTTAATGGGGGTTGTAAAAGTTGTTAATTTTCATGTTTTATTTGTTATTTGTTACATTATGTTTTTAATGTTTTTGGTTATTGTTACTGTTAAGTTTTAGCTTTTGTTAGTGTTGTTAAATTTGTTATTTTAATGAGTCATAATGTTATTGTTATGATTGATAGATATTTGTTATCTATCAGTGTATAAGTTATTGGCTATTGTTTTGAATATGCTAGTTCTTTGTTATTGGTATGGGGATCAGTCATTTGTTATATTTACATGTATAGGGGGATATTAGTTATTTATGATGTTATGAGTTTTAGTTATTTGTTATTTGTATGAGTTTTTATGAGTTTAAATTGTTATGTCGCGTCAGTTATTTGTTATTTGTGACAGTTATGAGCATTTGTTGTTATTTGTTTTAGTTAGTTGTTATTGTGACACTTGTTATGAGTTTTAGTTGTTCTGAGTTTTAGTTATTTGCTGTTGTTGTGATTTTGAATCATTTGTTATTGTTATGAGTGTTATCTAGTTGTTATTGTTATGATTTTTACTTATTTGTTATTGTGACAGTTGTTATGAGTTTTAGTTATTTGTTATTGATATGAATTTTTGTTATTTGATTTGGTAGAGATTTTTAGTTATTTGTTATTGTTATGAATTTTTGTTAATTGTTATTGTTATGAGGTTCCTTTGTTATTCACCCCATTATCTGTTTTGCTTTTGTTTATTGATTTTATGTTTTAAGTGCATTCCTTTCCCCTTCCCTGATCCTGGTAAGTTTGTATTTAAGCCCTTATCTGTTTATTTTGTTTGTTGATTTCATATTTTAAGTACATTCCTTTCCCCTTCCCTGATCCTGTTAAGTTTGTATTTAAGCCTTTATCTGTTTATTTTGTTTATTGATGTACATCATGTTTTAAGTACATTCCTTTCCCCATCCCTGATCCTGTTAAGTTTGTATTTAAGCCTTTATCTGTTTATTTTGTTTATTGATGTACATCATGTTTTAAGTACATTCCTTTCCCCTTCCCTGATCCTGTTAAGTTTGTATTTCAGCCTTTATCTGTTTATTTTGTTTATTGATATCATGTTTTAAGTACACCCCCCCCCCTCCCTGAACCTGCTTAGTTTGTAATTCACCCAATCATCTGTTCATTTTGTTTAGGTGCAATCACAAGAATTCTGTGTCTAAATACATCAATCAAGCATTATTGATTTCATATTTTAAATATACACCTTTTCCCTTCCCTGATCTTGTTTAGGTTTTATTTCAGCCCTAACTGTGTTTTGTGTTTACTGCTTTCATGTTTTTTAAATACATTACTTTAAATTTCCTTTCCCTGATCCTGTTTAGTTTGTATTTATCCCATTATCTGATCATTTTGTTTTGGTGCAGTCACATGAATGCAATGTCTAAATACATCAATGAAGCACACACCGCCATTGTAGGCATTGCAATCATCGAAATTCCCTTCCACTCCTCTGATCCTGATTAGTTTGTTTGAAAGTCCTTATCTGTTTATTTTGTTTATTGATATCATGTTTTAAGTACATTTCCCCCCCTTCCCTGAACCTGTTTAGTTTTTAATTCACCCCATCATTTGTTCATTTTGGTTAGGTGCAATCACAAGAATGCAACGTCTAAATACATCAATCAAGCACACACCGCCATTGTAGGCATTGCAATCATGGGATTCCTTTCCCCTCCTCTGATCCTATTAAATTTGTATTTCAGCACTTAATTATCTGGGGTTTTTTTTTTGTTTTTCTGCCTTCATGTTTTAAGTACATTCCTTTCCCCTTCCCCGATCCTGTTTAGGTTGTATTTCAGAATGTAGAGTGGGGCCAAAATTGGGTATCAGAGTTTTACATAGGAATACATGGAAAAAATCATTACAATTCTTCACAAAGCCGTGATTGTTTATTAATTTAAAAGCATAATTAAAGTGAATCATAACAATAAACAAAAAAAATAAGTCTTTATGTGTCATATTAATTCAAAATCATTCTGAGGAAGTGTATTTTGTTCAAATCCCCCCTTCCTCCTCCTTCGAACCCACGGCATGCCAACAACGCTAGATTGGAGGTATTTCTTAGCCATTTAAGAAGATGTAAGATTGTTTCATGATTAGTTTGCCACTCCTACTTAGTACATGTACTAATATTTTCAAGATCTGCCTTTGGGTATCTACGTGATTCATGTTTCCGGGTCCGTCAGTTGTTTGCAGTGGGGATCTATGTGATTCTTGTTTCCGGGTCCCGTTGATTGTTTGCGGTGGCTATCTACGTAGTTCGTGTTTCCGAGTCCCGGCGTTTGTTTGCGATGGCTATCTACGTGATTCGTGTGTCTGAGTTCCGGCGGTTCATTGTAATGTCTATCTACGTGATTCGTGTTTCCAGGTCCCGTTGGTTGTTTGCGGTGGCCATTTTAGACGGTTATTTTGGGAGTTTTTCCTGCTTCAGTCGAAAGGTAAGAGGATTATTGTAGTTGTAAGTAGCCTTACTAAAGGTAAGAGGATTATTGTAGTTGTAAGTAGCCTTACTAAGGTGTTTCTTAGTGTTAGGTTTAGTTTGTGTAGTGTTTCCAGTAGGCCCAGTTTTGTTGTAGGTTAAGTTAGTAAGCTTTAGTTTCTAGTTTTACAAATTAGAGTTCTTTAAGAGTTTAGGGCCATTATTGTAATTAAGGTATTTGTTAGTTAGTGCTTGTAGTGGATAGGTTTGCATGATTAACACCCTAACAAGCACGAGGGGCGATCAGAAAATAAATCAAGTAATATTATTCCATAGAAATTCTTCTTAACTATATTGATAGTGTTGTTGGTATCTCATCAACAAAGGTACATGAAATTTTACCAAGCACCTCAACCTACGAAAAGTATGGATACTGCATCTCTTGACACCAGAACAAAAGACAACGTGTTTGAAATTTGCTAGAAAACTTAAAAATCTATAAAAACTGTGACAGGATAAAAAATTGTTGACTTTCTAACAGGTGATGAAACTTGAATGTACTTTTTTGAGCAAAGAAAAATTAACAATATGACAAGGGTAAGAAAAAATAGCGAACGTCCTGTCATTGCAAAAAGGTGTCAGAGTGCCAAGAAAATTTTCTTTAATTCTAGTGGCCCTGTTGTGCAAATTCCAACTCTGAAAGGTAGTTGTATCTCGGGACGATTTTACTAAAAACAATTAAAGTATTTGAAAAGAAAAGGCTAAAGACAGGCTTGAAGAACATAAAGCTCGTTCATGACAATGCTCTAGCTCATAAGAGTAAAACAGTTCAAAGTATTTGAAGTATGTAAATGTTGTTCAGCTCCCACATCCACCGTGTTCTCCCGACCTAAGTCCTTGTGACTTTTTCTTATTTCTTAGACTGAAACAAATGTTATCTGGACATTGCTATACTTCGCGCAGTGCAGTTGGTAGTGCTGTTTATCAGTACTTAGACAGTATTACAAGGAAAGACTACCTCGGGGCTTTAAATCATGGATATGCAAAAGTGTGTGAATGTAAAAGGGGGTTATTTTGAAGGATTTAACTAGTTTACATGTGGATACATATTGTTGTCATTATTTTATGATATACTTGCAGAATTTTCTGATCGTCCCTCGTAACAAGCTACTAAAACTACTAACGTCTGCTAAATGTTGTGTGACGCGTCTAGTGTGTTGGTGTTAGTGTTTGTGTGCTTGTCACCTCTCGCTTTCAGCCATCACCACTGGCTAGCAGCAATGTGAAAAGGGAAGGAATTTTTATGTTTTCCCCTGCCAGTACATAGCCTCTCCACAACAAGTCCTATGCGATGCCTCCACGTGGAAGCAGACGGATACTGGGTAGCTATTGGTCCCAGGCTAAGTTCGCAAGGGCGCATGGGAAGATTAGTCTCCAAAGTTTTTGCAAGCACCTTATCTAGGAGAGAAAAATGATCACAATCCCGATTTAATATAAGACTTGATTGATTTCAGTGGTAACTGGTAATAGGAATGAACTTTTGTCCATTGTCTGTCTTTGTCATTTTTGTGAAAACTCACACTTTCATCTTCATCGGGCCAAAATCAACCAAAGTTGGCAGAGTATCCTTGGGTAAATGAGATTTCAGTTCATTCAAATGAAGCCCCATGTCCTCTTCTAAAGAGAGATTATTACAAATAAGTGAAAATTAATATGACATCTTTTAAAAATCTTCTTTTAAAGATCAACTGGAGCAGGAAAGGTGACCCTTGTGTGGAATTATCCTCAGGTAGTGTACATTCAAATTTATTCAAATCTAGACCCCCCTATTAGGGTGGTGCTAGAATGAGGGATCAAAAATATACATTGGAAATTTTTTTAAAGAGACATTGTGACACACAAAGGGGAAATTTGACAAAGGTAGAATTTTTGCATGACCCTTGTCAATTTTTTTCAATTCCTGAAAGAATTTGGTTTCAGGAAATTACAGATTTCAGACACTAAAAACTCAATTTTTATGGAGAAAAATATAAATAAATTAATTTCAGTATGCCCCAATACATTGCACTAAAAGATTGTTTTACTTCTTTCCTCATATTGTATGTGCTCAGAAAAGTTGAATAAGTTACCATGACCTTAAGTACCTAAGAATAAATGTAGGTACACCAAGAATTTTGATACAGTATTTTTAAAAAGCTATATGCAGCAGCCAACATGGCCCAAAGTGGTAAACAATAAGTTTCTCTGTTAAATGAAGTTTTTCAATTGATAGGAAGAGTGTTTCCCCTTTGATATCTCTTTTGTCTTTTTAAGCGGAAGAAAGTTGAGGCTGACCAGGATCCTGAAGTGAGGAGGAGTCCCTCTCCCATTAAACTGCATTCATGAGCAGAAAGTATGGTAAGATTCAGACTTTACTTCTTGTATAATTTCCTGACTTAATTTTTTTTGCTTGCCAATTGAGATTAGCTGTACCAAGCTTTAACCTCTGGACTTTTAATTGATAGAATTACAATGGAGGACCAGGGTCAATCAATATAAGAAGAGTCCATGTCCTGGCTGTGTTTTTAGGCAACATTTTTAAAAGTGGTAACTAACAAGCTTGTTTTAAGCTTCTCACTTGATATGAAGTGCAGGTATCCCCCATTTGATGTTTCTGTTTGATCTATTATAGCAGAGGAAGGTTAAGACTGACAAGGAATTCTAAGGATGGAGTCCCTCTCTCATTCCACTGCGGTAATGAGGAGAAAGCATGGTAAGATTTGGGCTTTACTTCTTAATTTTTTAAAGTACTGAACATCACCAGGGCCCACTTAAACAGCCAGGAGTCTTACATGAAGTATTATTCATTTAATACTTTCTGACCAATCCTCGTAACTCTTCTCAACTCTAAAGTAACTATACATCCCTTCCCCACCCTTATTTTCCCTGTAATTCTTATTCCAACTTTATTGTCTTATTTGATAACTGATTTTCCAGCTAATAATGTTGTAATGATAATGTTTACTTGAAATCTTTTGATTATTATATTGCATTGAATTATCAAGAACTAAAATTCTCTCCCTTGCATATTTTCAAGGACTTTGACAAGGGAAGAATGGGGGGGGGGGGGGGGGGGGGACCAGGGCTGACCAAGAGAAGAAGTGTCCATTGCCAAGCTTTGTCCAGCAGCCAATATCTGATTAAGAAGTGAGTAAAAAGCTTTTTTGGCAATTTTCAAATTTTCCATGTACTTGTAATTCAAGTTTGTTCAAATCATGGGTTCAGGAGGATTTACTTCTGTTGCAGAACAGCAAGACCATGTTAGCTGCAATAACACTGAAGCATTCCAAGGTTGTATGCTGGTATTGGCCCCATTTCCAAGAATGAGCAGGTTATCATGATTCAGCAAGAGTCCAAAGAGATCAACTGGGGCTGACCTGAAAATAAAGGTAAGACACAGGTTCTACTAACTCCTTCTACTGTGTGAAAATTAACTTTGCTCTCTCATTTATTAAAATTTAATTAATATTTTTAGCTCACCTGAGCTGAAAGCACAAGTGAGCTATTCTGATCAAAATTTGTCTGTAGTCAGTCCGTCTGTCTAGCTATCTGTCTGTTCATCTGTCTGTCCATCTGTAAACTTTTCACTTTTTCGACTTCTTGTCAAGAACCACTGCATTAATTTCAACCAAACTTGCCACAAAGTATCCTTGGATAAAGGGGATTCAAGTTGTTCAAATGAAGGGCCATGCCTCATTACAAGGGGAGATAAATATTAATGAAAAATTAATGGCAATTTAAAAAATTCTTCTTCTTAAGAACTACTGGGCAAGGAAAGATTTAACTTATGTGGAAACATCCTCAGCTAGTGAAGATTCAAGTTTGTACAAATAATGACCTCTGGGGGAAGGGCGGGGCCACAATGGATGATTAAAGTTTACATAGGAATATATAGGAAAAAATCTTAAAAAATCTTCTTCTTGAGAACAGCAAAGCCTTGATTGGTCATATTTATATGGAAGCATCCTCGGGTAGTGTAGATTCAAGCTTGTTCAAATCATGACCCTCTGGGGTAGGGTGGTGCCACAACGGATGTTCAAAGTTTTGCATAGGAGTATATAGCAATGTCATAATTGGTCTTGTTGATATTGAAGCATCCTCAGGTAGTATTAGGTACAGATTTGTTAAAATTACTACCCCCCAGGGTTGGGTGGGACCACAATAAATTCAAACTTAGGGAAAAAGCCACAGTTAGTCAGAAAAAAATTTAAGCATCCTTAGTTATTGAAGATTCAAGTTCGCATAAATAGAAGTTTGTTCAAATCATAACCCCCCCCCCCCCTTAAGGATAGGGACCACTTAGGTATTTACTGAATTGATGTTTTCTTAGCCACAGTGTGCTCAGGTGAGCAATGTGGCCCATGGGCCTTTTGCTTGTTGATCCCCTCATGTTCTGTTTCTTTACAGGTAGACTGGCATCCATAGATTGCTTCTTTAATAGCAGGCAAATAAATGAAATAAGCTTCAACAATAGTGCAACAATAGTGTGGAGAGTAAGGTTTGAACTGAAGCCTGATGTAGTCTGAATGAAGAAACAAAAATGTCAGAACTCAGAGGAACTATTTATATTCTTATCTTCAAACTGGACACACTTTACTGACAGAGTTCAATGGACAGTGCAGATGAGTTCATTGTTATCACAGAGTGATGGACACATTAGATAGCCAAAGACAAAGAATCAAATGGACAATGCTGATGAGTTCATTGTTATTAACAAAGTGAGTCAACGCATTAGATAGTTGGAGAATGAAACGGACAGTGCTCAGCGTACATTATTGTTAAAAAACTGATGGACACATTAAATAGATAAACTCACAAAAGTCAATGTTCAATGACAATGTTTAATTCATTGTTATTAATAAAGTCATAGACACACTAAGCAGCTTAATGCAAGGAATCTAATGGACCATGCTGAGTATCGTATAAGTAGAAATTTTAGCGAGACGCAAATTTAGAGATTTCTACCTAAAATCTTGTGTTTTATTTTTAGCAAGAAGTAATTTTAGGGATTTTTAAAATGCTAACTTAAGAAGCTGTTACACGTACAAATAATACGCAATTACTGTAAATCACTTTTTATTCGAGATAACTTTATTTTCGCGTAATTACACGAGACAGTGTGCTAGCAAAAATTAAATTCTCACGTATAATAGTATTCCTTAACATTATATAGACCAATAACCACAATTTGTGAAAATTTTGTCTCTCTAATCAAAAGTCAATGACTACCTCGCGAAAAGGTGTCGCGAAAATTTAGTGATCTACAGTAATTTTTAGCGATATTCAATTTTAGCAATGTCAGCACCCTTGCTAGTAATGCCAAAATTAAATCCTTGCTAAAAATTCTACTTATACTGTATATTGTTGTTAACAAAGTGATGGACACACTTATTAGCTAAACTCACAGAATGCACTGGATCATGCAGAGTTTATGAACAAATAACTTCATCTGACCTTTATCGTTGTATGCAGCTCTGCTCCTGATCTGTATTGTTTTGATGGATTTTTTAGCTTAAATCCGTATTTTATCATGACCTCCGTGGTAGGGCAAGGCCACCATAGGGAATCCAAGCTTTACATTAAAATATGTAGGAAAAATCTTTTAAAACCTTCTTCTCAAGAAACACTGGGCCAGAAGAGCTGAAACTAATGTGGTAGCATTCTGGAGTAATGTAGATTCTAAATAGTTCAGATCATGCCCCGTGGGGGTAGGGCAGGACCACAATAAGAAATCCAAGTGTTACATTGAACAAGAGGCCCATGGGGCAACATCGCTCACCTGAGTAGCATTGGTGATGCCGTTCTTTACCCGATTTCCCCACTGTAATATCTAGTGTTGCCTCGACCCCCCCCCCCCCCAGGGGGACACAATTTTAACAGTTTAGAATTTACACTACCCCAGGATGCTTCCACATAAGTTTCAGCTTTTATGACCCAGTGGTTCTTGAGAAGACAATTTTTAAAATTTGTTCCTATATATTTCTATGTAAAACTTGGATTCTCTATTGTGGCCCCGCCCTACCCCCGGGGGTCATGATTTGAACAATTTAGAATCTACACTACCCCAGGATGCTTCCACATAACTTTCAGCTTTTCTGGCCCAGTGGTTCTTGAGAGGAAGATTTTTAAAGTTTGTTCCTATATATTTCTATGTAAAACTTGGATTCTTTATTGTGGCCCTACCCTACCCCCAGGGGTCACAATTTTATCAATTTAAAATCTACTCTACCGCAGGATGCTTCAACATAAGTTTCAGCTTTTATGACCCAGAGGTTCTTGAGAAGAAGATTTTCAAAGATTTTTTCTATATATTTTTATGTGAAACTTGGATTCTCTATTGTGGCCCCGCCCTACCCTTGGGGGTCATGATTTGAACAATTTAGAATTTACACTACCCCAGGATGCCTCCACATAAAGTTTCAGCTTTTCTGGCCCAGTGGTTCTTGAGAAGAAGATTTTTAAAGTTTGTTCCTATATATTTCTATGTAAAACTTGGATTCTTTATTGTGGCCCCGCCCTACCCCCGGGGGCCATGATTTTAATAATTTAGAATCTACACTACCCCAGGATGCTTCCACATAAGTTATAGCTTTTCTGGCTCAGTGGTTCTTGAGAAGAAGATTTTTAGGTCACCTGAGTAACTCAGGTGACCTATTGCTATCCGTTTTTGTCTGTCGTGCGTCGTGTGTTAGCATTTAAACATTTTCAGCTTCTTCTCTGAAACCACTGAACCAATTTCAACCAAATTTGGTATACAGCATTTATGGGTGAAGGGGAACAAAAATTGTGAATTTCATGGTCCCCGCCCCCCTGGGGCCTGAGGGGTGGGGCCAAAACCTTTAAAATTAGTGCAATCTTTAAAAATCTTCTTCTTTACTCATGGACATCAAGCAGGCAAACTGTTGACATGAATGTAATGAGCATTGAGTCCTTTACCAAAATTGTGAAATTCATGGCCCCAGGGTCAGGGATTCTAGTGCTAGGGTGGGGCTATATAGATTATATAGTGAAAATGCATTTTTTCTTTGAAAATCTTCTCTGTTCCTGGGTATTAAATAAACTAACGAAGTACATACATGTAGTTATGATAAGCAAGAGTGCCTCTTCCAGATTTGTGAATTTTATGGCCCCAGGGTCAGGGGTTCTGGTGTTAGGGTGGGGCTCTATTGATTATATAGTGAAAATGCATTTATTCTTTGAAAATCTTCTTCTCTGCTTCTGGGTATTAGATAAACTAAAGCACAAAGTTATGATGAGCAAGAGTGCCTTTTCCAAAATTGTGAATTTTATGACCCCAGGGTCAGGGGTTCTGGTGTTAGGGCGGGGCTCTATTGATCATATAGGATTTTTCGAAAATGCATTAATTCTATATATATTTATGAAAATCTTCTTCTCTGCTTCTGGGTGTGTGTGAGGGGGGGGGGGGGGGGGCTATTGAATAAATTAACTTTTAGTACATAGTTATGATGAGAACATATGAGTATATTGCCTCTTCCAAAATTGTGAAATTTTGAAAACTTCCAAATGGGTTCAATAAATTGTTCTGGTGTTAACAGGAAATATTATAGTTCCAGAGCAGTATTCACAATTTCTGTATATAGAACAATATATTTTATTCCTTTTTCGAAAATATTTTCCTTTGCTTTTGGGTTTTATGCCAATGATTCAATTATATATATTTATGACATTATATCAAAGGTGCATCTAACACACAGTGGTTTTTTTTTTAAAATATCGCCCCCATTTTTCTGGGTTCATAAAAAACTGAAATGTGTGTGTGGGTGGGGGGCTACATTACGTACATATGAAAATAAATTAATGCTTTTAAATCTGCTCTTTGGTATTAATCAACCATTTTATGATAAAATTTGCAAAATTTTGAAATATGAGGCCCTTGGGTCAGTGGTTCCTTTGGGGTGAGGTGCACAACTGGGTATAAAGTGGAAGTGCATTTTCTCTTTGTTGGTTTGATCTACCTCTGGGTATTAAGTAAATAGAGTAAGCATACCAAGTTAATAATTATGATAAGCAATGGTGCCTCTTTCAAAAGTGTGAATGGTGAATTTCATGGCCTCTAGTTTAAAAAACGAACCAAAGTTAATTGTTTGGAAGTTGTTACACAATACTCAGGTGACCTATAAGGCCTGTGGGCCTGTTGTTTAATGACCCCACCCTATTTTTGTATTTTCTTGATTATCTCCCCTTGGGAGGGGTCTAGGCCCTTTATATTAACAATTTTAAATTTCCTTTACCTAAGTATCCTTTGTACCAAGTTTGATTAAAATTGGCCCAGTGGTTCTTGAGAAGAAGTCAAAAATGTGAAATGTTAACAGACGGACAGACAGCAAGACGGACGGACGACGGACAAAATGTGATCAGAAAAGCTCACTTGAAATCATCTTGTCTATAACCATTGGACCAGAAAGGCTAAAACGTACGTGAAAGCATCTTGGGGTAGTGGCGATTCTAAATTGTCCAAATCATGACCCCTAGGGTTAGGATGGGGTCACAATCAGTATTGCATGCTCAAAGTTATTCAGGTGAGCGATGTGGCCCATTTGTCTGTTTTTTTTAAGGTATCCTTTTCATTGTTGTGCAAGCATGTTAATGCATTCCCAATTAAATTTCATGATTAACATTGAAATAAACTATTTTTAGTCATGCAACTAAACGTGTTCAGTTCTCACTGAGTTCAAGGCGAGTCTTTTGCTCTAAAATCTCACATATTAGTACCCCCCCCCTTTCCCTCAACCTGGAGGAGGAGGGGTTTAAATGATTTTTAAAGATATTTCAATGTATAAAAATTAATGAATAAATGAGAGGGATCTGCCTTTAAATGATCAATTTAAATTATTTTGTATATTACTTTTAACAGTTGATACAGGTTCTGAAATGGTACCTCCTTTCAAAATTATGTGCTGATGATAACATCATACATGAAATGAAAAAAAGCACAGACATATGTTTAATTTCCTTTATTCTTCATAATTCCTGTCGGTCTGTTTAAAAAAAAACATTGGAAAAAAAGTAGCCAAAAGTTTGATAATGCACTAGTTGCATGAGTGTCATTCAAAACAAAACTTCTTTGGTAGGACTCCTACCTACGGTGGGACAATAGGGACACGAAATTGATTTTTCAAATACCAAAAAAAATATGTCTTAAAATTGAAAAAAAAAAATCTCAAGAAAGCGAGATAGTATCTTGTGAAAACGAAATATTATCTCGTGAAAACGACATAATTATTTTCTTGTGAGAACGACCTTATCTTGTTAAAACGACATACTTATAAAATAACTTATTTTCTCGTGAAAACGAGAAGTCATCTCGTGAAAACGAGAAATTATCTCGTAAAAACGAGATATTATTTCGTGAAAACGAAAAATTGTCTCATTTTGTGTTGGACTACAGAGGGTCTCGGTTTTGTGAGATAATTTGTCATTTTCACAAGAAAATATGTCTTTCATAAATTTTATATCGTTTTCACGAGAAAATAATAATTATGTCGTTGTCACAAGAAAATACGTCTTTTTTACGAGATAATATCACGTGAAAACGAGAAAATAAATCGTTCTCACGGGATACTCTCTCGTTTTCACAGGATAAGGCTTTATTTATGAGATAATTTAACGTTTTCACGGACAAAATGTCATTTTCACCAGATAATATTGTTACCATTTGGCCTGATTTCGGGAATCATTTTAAGCAATAATCGGGAATATGTTTCAGATATTAAAGAAATGAATTTAATTTTTGCAGATTCATGAGGACATGAACTACGACGCTTCATGCCGGCATATTTCAGTTCAAGTACCTCATGAATTTTCAAAAAATTAAATTTCATTTCTTATATTTACATTATTTTTCTGATTAGAAATGCGAAATCGGGGCACAAAAAAGTTGAGACCTATAAAAGATGAAAAAATGGAAGTGTTTGGCAGTTTGCACATTTATAATCTAATGTCATTCTTATTTACATAATAAAGTCAGGGGACACATAGAGCTGAATATTTTTTAAAAAAATACACATTTTGACATTTTAAAGTGACCCATAGCAAAATTTTCAATGCGTCAAGACAGTTGAGATCTACATGTATCCGTAGTGTATAACATGCATGATATACATTCGGGGTCACATTTACCATCTGACCATATTCCCTCTTAGAATCACAATATTAATCACAGGTACATCATAAAACATTGTATTTGACATCATATCATCTCTTTACTTCCTCTTCTCCGCGCAAGCGCGGCAAGATCACGTATAGTTTTCATGGACGACGTACGTGGTCGACTGAAAGGAAATGCTTCGTCCACAGAGTCTTCACTTTCCTGAAGTAAGGTGGCGCTAGTAGCCGTCCTTACTCCGTAATTTTCCATCGTAATATCCACACTGCTAGCAGTAGAATGAAGACTTGAGGTAGATGACATAATCTCATGACGTGGAACTCGTGTTTTACGCAATGAACGTATTGTGTCTTGTATGTCACAAAACTGTCTCTTTAAGAGAATATCATGCTGGCGTAACTGTATCTGAAATGAAAAACAAAGTTTATTTTGTGCTCTAAATTCAAACAGTTAAAGAAAATTGCATGTTAACGTGCAAAACACAAAATCTGAGTGTTTCATCGAGACATCTACAACTTTTGGGTTAATTTTTTTTTTTGGCAATTAATACGTTGCATTTTATTTCGGCTAGATAGCAGAACCATTGCGTATTATCACAGGTACTTGGGTCTTCAACTTGGTTTATAAATATGTATAATGTACCTTATTGATATGTAAAAAACATATCAAAAAGGTACATTATACATATTTTAAACCAAGATCCAAGTACCTGTGTGTATTACAGAACTGTTAAGACGGATATCAATGGCTAAATAAGCATGTTGTTACCAATGCATAGGTAAATACATATATATATATATCTGCATTTATTAGCCAAATCCACAAAAATGTTGCAAAACATAGTTTCACAGTTCATAAACTAGGTTTATTGGTTGTAAACTATAGTTTTTATATGATGAATTGTAAACTATAGTTATCTGACAGAAGGAAAGTACATAAATTAATATATTTTACAAAATCTGTAAACCATAGTTAACGCGAAAATATATCTTTCACAACCGTAATTTCCCACTATTAAATTAAAACATCGAAAACAATCATTTGCGATTGCAAAACACCCAATAAGCTTTTTAATCATGGAAATACAAAATATTACTCATTGTCAGTAAGAAATAATGCTATAGTTTAAATGGTGATTTACTGTTATTATATAAGTGATAGCTCAAAATGTGAAAATTGTGATATTCATATGGAAAATGCATATATTTTTTCTTTGAATGCCCATGTTATGTTGTGAAAGAAACACTGATTGTATATCAACTCAAAATCTATTCATTTCCCTAAATCTTTTATTATTTGGTGAAACTAGTATTTCTTATGCAAAAAATATGAAATTATTTGATTGTTTATATATCACAAACCAAAAGGTTTCATAAATGTTAACTATTTATTCAGTTTATGAAATTAAATACACATTCACTGTATGTTTATAAAATGCTGTAGGTCTCATTTTTTCGATTCTTTTTTTTTCATTTCATTTCCACATTTATAAACCGGTATTCATTTGTTGTTGTTTTTTTTCGTTAACTCTTCACTCATGTATTTTTCGGTTTGTAATCCATGCAAATTTGTCAGTTATATATAACTTATTGGTCATATATAAACCTAGTTATTAATTAACCTTGTACCTATGGAGAGGGCTTATATAGTTTATCTGCATCCATTTATGTGTTTTAATTTAAAATATGTTCAAATCATATAATAACGATTTAGTCATTTCCATGCATTTGTAAGTGCATATTTAAATGCACAAAATCTTTGTGAGCTTAGCAACAACGAATTGTAATTTCAAATCAATTAAGAATGCCACGACCAATCAAGATGAATTATTTCGGTCGTTACAGGGCCTTTGGTACAATATTGTGTACTTCGACAAAATCCTTTATAAATTGCTGACATCTCTATAGAAACGCGCAATGCATCACTTTAATGACCCAATCTCCATCGTATAAATGACATACTAAGAAAAATAATAACTCCCAACTATTTAGTTCGAAAAATATTTGGAAGATGTATGAGCAAAAAGAGACACAAGCTTAATCCAAAGCATTAACAAACGGGAAAGTTTGAACAATGTTGCTAATCCAAAATAAACAGCGATATGCATCAAATTAGTCACTGTTCTCATCAATTTGATTTGACGTGCACATCAATTCAATTTATTGCTTATCAACGGTTTCATTTAACAATGTGATGGAATTATCGTTCGAAAACATCAATTAAGACCTTGGTACAAATGATTTATTGATCTGTTAATAAAATTGAAGATACGTATTATCTTTTATCATTTTACAACATTTTTTAGAAGTCAATTCGGTTTTGAATTCGCTTACTGAATAGTTAAATTGAGGTCAATAATTCAATTGAAGAAAGTAATTTTCACGTACATCAGTTATTGCTTACATTAATTTTATTATTGCTCTCTTCAATTTAATTTAATACGAGCATAAATTCAATCGTTGATATCAATAAATCAAAATAATTTGAAGAAAGCAACAACTCAATTATTGTGCTCTTCACGTCAGCAAATTAGTGATATCAACGATTCAATTCACATTGCAATGCAATGGATAACATTAATAATTCAAAGAAATATTTATTTTATTTCGATCTTTTCCCTTACCAGTTGAATTTATCTTGAGATAAAAGTTTGGATATGTGATGTGTGTTTTCATTTTTTTTTTGGGCACTTTACAACATACGTTCTTTATACAAGGTTTATTAACTTTCTAGTAAAGGATGTTATAGGCTTTGCAACATCACTAAGTTAAGTCTTGCTTAAGCTCTTTTGCTCCAGGGAAGCATATTTGCCGAAGAAACGCTAATATAAAAAAAAATCAAATGCATTTTCTTCAATCATATTCCCGGATTTTGCTTGGAATGTGTCAGTGACAATCCACGTTTAATAAAATAACAGCGGTATATCGCAGGCTCTGTTCCAGCAAAAAGAAAACGGAATGCAGTGCCATGTCCGTTTACACAACATGCAACATCAAAAGGTTGTGACAGACATGCTCATCCATGGGACCGTATTATACTCACTAGCTCTTGTCGAACCCAACTCATGGCCTGGGCTAAATCCTCCAAGCGATCCGTCGAGTCGTCACAACTTCCGGGCGTCGTAAATCGCCTGGGCAACTTGACGTTCCCCTGTAACTCTGTGTGGCGGAGAGGGACTGTGCTGCTCTCCATTCCGATCAAATGTCTCTGTGCACTTCACTTCAAATTTAGAATCAAGGAAGTGAAAAACATTTAAAAGCTATGTACATCGAACATTGAACATTAATGCATTATGATAGTGCACTTAAAGAACACGGCACTATAAACATCATCAGTTATCAAATCTAGTCGATCAGTTCCAAATATGATAGACTGTTTTTGAAGTCCATTAAATGCTATTTTGGTTCCATCATGCAAGCATAATTTCTTGTTAAAAAGAAAGCAATAAAAAGTTTCTTTTTTCTCTCTTTTTTTAATTAAAAAAATACCAACCGTTTACAACATACACAAAAAATCCAAGAATAACTCCTTCCAGTCTCAATAGTATAAATGACATTCATGATTGTTTCTGACAATAATAAGCAGTATTACCTCACTTATACTTATCTGTTACCTACTGTTTAGCAAATGATTACCCGTCGCTTTCTAGCGGAACATGGCCGTCACCCCTTCCGACCTTGTGTTGATAAATAGCGGCTTGGGGTTTTGTTGTCGAGCATATGGGGTTTGATAATGCCCATTTACACGGCAAACTGACAAACAGTCTGTTAAAATCAATTATCAGGCTCATAATGAATATCGGGGTTTGATGAATCCCTTAGGACTTTTTTCCAGCAATTTACTCCTGTTTACTATTGACAAATGTTTCCATTTCCGAAGAGTAAAGAATTCACTGGTATTAATTACAATTTATTTAGTTTTATCATGTGTATAAGATCAGTGAATAAACAATTTTCTGAAGGCATTCGCGTTATTTTGTCCACCCTTGTTTTGCAACATGTCTGAATTTCTGAAATTTGGAAATTTGCTAGGTTAAAAAGAATGCGTTCTACCATTTTAGTTTCCTTGTGTGGTAGGTACACTAAGATACAATGTACTTCAATACAAAAGATTTAAAATTTCTGAAATTAAGAATGGAAATTTGCTAGGTTGAAAAGAATGCGTATATAAATAAATTCTTGCCAACCTTTTAGTTTTCTGTGAAAAGGTAGGTACAATGTGCTAATTGAACAATGTATTAACATATATTCAAATAGATTTAAATAATTGTACCTAAAACTTTAAAAAGTCTCAGTAAAATTATCTTCAAATGAAATAGTCTTGCGAAGATATACAAATGCAATGAATTGAAGATTCTTTAAAGATAGGTACAATTGAATTGGATCTTTTTAATTACTACGATATTGGCAATAACAACTACTCCCTTTATTATACGTCATTTCCTATGCGTCACAGCTGGCTCGAAAGTTTATCGAATCTTCATCTCGCTCCAATACAAAATATACCTATATGATATATATGTGTATTTGTATAAGTATATGATGGTTTTTGGACATTTTGAATTCACCTTTATGATTATTTTTCCTTTCATCCTTGTTGTCGTCGCTCTGTAGGTTATGTGCGTTTCCCTCCATACTCAGTATTGTCTCCAAGGATGTCATTTAGCAACTATATAATAATTGAAATTCAAATCCTTTGTGGATATGTCAATTGAACCTATCTTCAAATGAATTGTACTTTTAAATCAATTATACCTATCTTCAAATGAAAAAGTTTGACTTTAATTGAATTGAAGAAAATTCTATTAAAGATAGGTATAATTCAATGTATAAATGTTATTTATACCTATTGACCTTTGACCTTTTGATCTCAACCTATCTTTAATTCAATTGTACCTATCTTCAATTCATTTGAAGATAGGTACAATTATTTGAAGATAGGTGCAATTATTTGAAGATAGGTACAAATATTTGAATATATGTTAATTTGGCGTTCCATAAATTTGACCTTTTGATCTCAAATCAATGGGTCTTCTTTAGGCAATAGGAAGTTGTGGTTAGCTGCAGAACTATAGCTCCCCGAAGACCAGAGAGCTACAGTGCCATCTATTGAAAAAAAAAAACCTACAACATATATTTATTGCGCACAAAATCTATATCATTTCTTCCAAATGCTAACAGCAATTGCAAAAAACCTAATTTCGATTAACCCTAAAAAAAATATCACTTTTTAGTGTGCTAATATTTAAAAGCATTTTGAAAACAATGTAGAAATCAAAAGAAAAAGTCTAATATGAATATTTGTGTTATATTATATCAAAAGATACAAAACATATATATAAGGAACCTGTCGTCTGACCTTAAGTACTCTCGTAGTTGACATCTGCAGTGGATTCTGCACGAAGCGTGTTGGACAGAATTATCTTGCAAACCAAAATAGCAGTATCAGTTGGCGAAATTTTGATAGCCTCAGTTTCTGATCTAAGATGGCTATCAACAACAGTTAAAACTGAGGAATATTTTGCTGAGGAATCAGTAAAAGAATATGTTAGGAACATACGCTTAGTAATATTTTGAGATGACAGTTTTAAAAACATGATGAAATAAATCGAGAAAAAGTGCACTTTTTGTGCCCAATAAATATATACTTTTTTTCAATTTGTGGCAATGTAGCCCTGCGGTTTGTCAGTATATATATATTTTTTTTCCTGCAGCTAAGTTGTGGAAAAAATGTTTACTGCAAAAACCAAAAAGACTTCTTGAGATATCGCGCAGTTCTAGCGAGGGTGTTAAAACAGAATTCATGACCTTGACCTTTTGACCTCAAAATCACAAAAGGGATCTTTCTTAGCTGGGCCAGAGTTAGTATGTAAAATGTACACGAATAAAATATCAACTTATAGAGATGCTTGCACACTGACATCATCACCCGTTCTGTTCTTCATATTTCTAGTAAAATCCTCATTTACTCGTACATGTACTGTAAATTACAATGTAATTATTAAAGTGTTCTTATATTCCGTAATCCGTTTATATTCTGTCTATTGAGACATCATGGCCCTTCATTTAAACAAGTTGGTATCCCCATCATCCAATGATGCCATGAAGCAAATTTGTCACTATAATACCATATTATTATTATGTTGTGTGATAACGCAACAAATTATATTTCGGAATGTTGAAATCTGTCGGTGAAAGGCTTTATCATTTACTATTCCATCGATGTCACTTGGACGTTTGTGTTTACACCAACACGTGAATTTAGTATTTTAAGAAAATTAGTTAGGTCTACAAAAACGTCTAGAACTGGTATCAAAGCTATGGATTCAGAAGAATCATTTTCTGGAATGGAAAGTCCTGATTCAGATGAAGAGGTTTGTCAATGGGTTTTTCATATGACATCCAAATGTAGCGTGAAAGTATTTTCTTGAAAAAAAAATTACAACAAACTTTCATGTTTACATTTGATCTATTTAGTATTCAAATGTCTTGACTGTTTCTTCTGACCACGGAATTTCTCAATTTGTCAATCTGACAGTAAAATTTCATAGTAAATCAACTTATTTGATATGGAAACTGATGCAATTCTGAAAACGTTGAGAGAGATAGATAGAATTTCTTTTAAAATTGGTCAATGAAAATAAGGTGTATATAAAACATATTTCTATGCTAAATTCGAATGTATATTACTTTAATTTTGCTTTTAGTTGCAAGAGGCATTTGCGGCTGGAAAGCTGAAACCAGGATTAAATCTTGAACTGCCTGCAGAATCAAAGATTGTGAATAATGTAGTAAGTAGAAAATCTAGTCCAGTTTAAAAAGGTGTGGATTTAATATTCTCATACTTGTGTAGATATGATTTTTCACAGCCTTTCAACTATGATGTCACAGAACTTGACACAAGGCCTGATAAAGAGCAGTGCCGAAAAACGGTGCAGTGCAATGAAGGTGCCATTTTAGATGGAATCTTTGATGTGTCATTTAATAAAATCTGAACCACCATTCAACATATTGATATCCACTGGAAATGAAACAAAACCTTTTTCCCTCATGTGGATTGTAAAAGTCAAGTTGTTTTGGGCAGCAAACCACACCTTTACTTCATCCTCAGGGTTTATGGAATAAAACCCGGGATAAATCCCTGAACACCCTTGATTGAACCTGAATAAGTAATGTTATCCATGTATACATGAAGATATGACTATAATATTGATTATTTTTACTCTAAAAGTAAACAAAGTAAAGATTTCATGCATTTGGAGCTGAATTAAATACCTATGTAGAAATAACATCAATCTGGATAACTCTGGTCTTGATTAATCATTTGTCTTAATTGTATTCTTTGTACAGTATAACAAAATTGTAACAAAATGCCACGGAAGAGTGGTTTAGCTTTGTTATAAATATAATTTGTTATATCTATTAGCACAGTATATTTTAGCCCCATGGCTAATGAAAATCACTTCACTATAAGCATCAATTCATTATAAGCATACTTGCAATAAGTGTGTTTTACTGTATTAATTAAAACTTGAGTGTAAGCGTAAAATGTGCCTAGATTATCTGATGGTAACTTCTGAATCCTAATTTATCTATGATTTTGTAGGCAGGATTGAAGCAAAAGTTGTCAGCAATAAAGAAAAATCTCCCATGGGTGGAACGTTTAGATGTGACCAGCAAACCAGCCACAGGCCACAAAGACCTCATCAGTCAGAGTGAAACAGACGTCCACGACGACTTCAAACGCGAACTGCGATTGTAGGTCAACATAGATTTGACTATAATATTTCCTGTATTGTTGCTGATCAGTTTAGAATTAAACTAATCTCAGCGAGATGTCATAGGGACTAAAAATTTTGTCTTGTGTCCCTAAAACATCTCAGCCCAGTGTCACACAAACTGACTCAGGTTTTCTTGCCCCAACTTCGATGGCTTGTTTCAATCAATACAGGCTGAAATGAATTAGCTGCCCATTTCAACTTTTTCCTTATAACATATGCTACTTTTCATTGAAAATTCAAAAAGTTAAGCTGCACACTATCTACATTCTGAATAAACCAGAACAACTGCAGTCTCATGAGAAACTTCCAAAAAAAAAAAAAACAGCAGGTAAATCTATTTACCGGGTATTATTATCCTAACATATATTTCTTAGATTGTAATTGATTTTTTTTTGTTTGTTTTACAGCTACTGTCAAGCACAAGCCACAGTTTTAGAGGCAATACCCAGACTTCACAGTATGAATTTGCCCACTAAAAGACCAGAGGACTACTTTGCACAAATGGCAAAGTCTGATGATCACATGAAAAGAGTAAGAATTTTGTTAACTTTGAAAATTGAAACATTTCACAAATTTTATTGTAAAGGAATTTGTTTTACTTTATAAACTGTAAAGTCTGAAGGAATGATATTTGTTAGATCATTAGCTATGTCAAACACACATCCCTTTTCAAAAGTTTTAGAAAGTGTAGGCAGACTTGAGAAGAAATTGCATATTATAAGATGAATTTTTGTGTATAAGAACTTTGAAGGAAAATGTACAATGTCATGAAGGATTAATAATAAAATACTTATAATAGGATTAATACCAGAGAAGAAGTCAGTATGATAACATTGTATGTAGATACATGGACCTTAACCTTTGACCAGGACCTTAGCAAAGGCTTCTTCCTGGTACCACTTTGTACATATATATGGATAGGAATCGTTATCAGGGCCAAAAATTATGTCTCTGATTTGTCTTTTTCATTTTGATTGAAGACCATATCATTGTTGAACCTTTGTAAGAGAGGAAAAATTACTTCAAAACCAAAATTTTTTTCACGGTGTTTTTAATTCAGGTACCAATGCCTTAATAAATTTAATCAAATTACATATGAATTTTTTGCAATTAAAGCCTTTTTAATAAAGAATTTTTTATACACATATATATAATTTAATCATGGTAAATATTTCTGAATGTTGTTATGCATGTCTTTTCCTGTTACCACTTTGTACATGTACATCTTTTGTATCCATGTCATGTTAAACCTTTGTAACACTCAAACTCAGATTTTTTCATGGTGTTTTTGGTACCAAGCCTTAATAAATCTAAAGCAATTGCTATTTATTCAAAAATTTCAAGTCATTTTCTTTATATGTCTTTTGTAGTAATTCTCTTGGTGTGTTTAAATGTTTGCTGCATGAAGATGATATATAATTTAAAATGCATTTGTGTTATTTATGAGTGTATTACTTAGTCATTTAGACATAAGTACAATATACCTGTATTTCTATGTGTGCTTAATTTGTACAGGTGAGAGAAAAGTTGTTGGAAAAGCAGACTGCCATGGAAAGATCAGAAAAAGCCAAGAAACTCAGAGAACTTAGAAAATATGGTAAAAAGGTTGGTCTATTTGTTTTATTCTTAATTTAAGAAAAAAAAGCATGCCTGTGGTGTATGGATGAAAGAAGTTGATTTACATAGTTGTTTGGATAATTAGTTATTTGAATATTATTTAAACGTAGGTCCAAGTGGAAGTTCTTCAGAAACGACAGAAGGAGAAGAAAGAAATGCTCGATGCTGTTAAGAAATATCGTAAGGGACAGAAAGACAAATTAGACTTCTTAGAAAATCTGCCAGGGGAGTCAAGAAACAAGCAAAACAAGAAAAACACAGATAAACTTAGGTAAAATATTTTGAAATGTTCTAAAAGGATAATTGAATTGATGAAAACAGGGGTTCAGAGTTACAGTTCTTGAATATTTTTCTGATATTATATCTTATTTCAAGCAAATACACCTTGCTTGAGAACAATCATATCTGAGTGTCGCATTTTAACAGTTGAGAAAAATTATGACCACATCCAACCTCATTGCTTTTCCTTTGTGAAACCAATTGATAAAAGTACTGTACATTGCAAATGTTTATAAAATGTTTATAATGTCAAAGGATATGTTATATTTAGCAAGAAACATTGTTTTTATAATTTTAATTTGTGAAAAAAATACCTGTCTTTTTTTTTCATATTTTGTATATCTCTAATTTAGTATGTCCCACGTACCTTAAAGCAGATATATCAATAGATTTCTAGACTTATTTTTGAGATATTGAGTGACAACTTCTATACCCTACAGTGTCTAAGTGGAGTTTTGATTCGCAATGTTTCTGGGCCCATTAATCGGTTCATAATGGATTTTTTTCAGCATAGATAAAAAAATATGTCAGTGAACATGTGCCTTTTAAAATATTTCAGAGTATTAATAGGGTTAAAAATTCGAAAAAGCAATATTCTTTTGGCACACCGCATCTGGAGACGGAAAATTACATACTTTTTTTAGACAACTTAAACAGCAAAAAAATTAATTTGCAAAAAATCCTATCATTCAATATTTAAAAACTTACATTGAAATGCAAGATCATCATGTTATTTATTAGCTGTAAAAATATCGATTGGTGAAGCTGAGCTCAATATTGCACAGGGCATAGTTAAACAACACATGAGCTTGAGAAAAACGTGTCATGTTTACCTTTCTCGAGTACGGGAAAACCTAACTATGACGTCACACATTTGCGAAATAAGCGAAATGAGACATACCTACAAAATATTTCCTTCAACAACCATGTAAAAATATTTTTTGTGTTCTCTAATTCACTAAATACCCCATCATCTACTGATCATGACCTGTTTTTAAGATATTCTACATCTTCGCTAGCCAAGGGTTTCTGATACGCTACTCTCTTCATAAACCATTGGCATACCGTGTTCATAGAAGTTGGGATGATTTTTTCTCGATCGGTCAACCAATCAGCAATTGTTTTTTTTGTAAATGACGACATTTGCGTTCAGGACACTTCTTGACTCTTTAATCTCGGATATGAAAAACGCAAGTAAACAACTATCCATAAGATAACATGCCAAGGATTTATGAGGAGAGTAGCATGTCAGAACCCCTGGCTAGCGAAGATGGATATTCTACTACCCGTGTTTTACCGTGTATAATCTTACTGTACTAAGAGATCCACTATGACGTCAACGACTCGTTGGACGTGCAGTGTAGGGAAACAGAAGAGTGGATCAATCTATTCCCTAATTTGATAATATTTGCAATAAAGTTTAAATCTTTATAGATATTTTTATAGAAGATGGTGAACTCAAACAAACAGTTAAAAAATTATACAAGTACTGTGGATTCAATCTTGTTTTGTACATATTTTATCAGAGATTATGACGTAATTAAACTGATTCATGTGACCATACATCCTTCATCCCCTTAATTTGTCCACTGCTTTCATGCAAGTGAGGAGACATTTAATCTCATTCGTCTGTCTGTCAGTTTTAAATTCTTCATAACTTTTTGATTAGAGGATAAAGGGTTTTCATATTATACATGTACCGGTATATTACCTGGTTAAGACCTTTCCAAAAATACTACTAGTATATATTTTGACCTGACCTTGACCTTCATATTTGACCTACTTTTAAAAACTTTTATCTTTGCTTTGCTTAAAACTTTGAGAAGAGATAGGGCTTTCATATTTAAGATGTGCAGTACTTGTGACAGGACCTTTCCAAATGCACAATGAATTTTGACCCTTGACCTTGAATTTTGACCTATTTGTCAAAAATATCAATTCTTTTTAATCTGACAAGTGCAGTTCCTGTGTCAAAATGTTTCTGAATTTGTGTTGATATTTTGTTCCCGTGACCTTGACCTTCATGTTTGACTTGAATTTATACATTTGATCAGTGTTGCTAATGACATCTCTCATCCAACTAAGCCATTGAAAAAAGGGGACAATTCCTCTTTGTATCTGCTTCTTTAATTTGCATTTTTTTCATCAGTATGTGGAATTTAATTTTGGACTACTTTAATTTAGGCAAAATAAGAAAAGAGAATTTAAAAACAAGAAATTTGGGTTTGGAGGACAGAAAAAGAGATCTAAAATGAACACCAAGAACAGTGCATCTGATATGTCTGGATTCAAACCAAAAATAAACCAGAAGAAACCAGGCAAACCAAAACCAGTAAGTGGTCTGTTATTCAACTGCTTTCACTTGTTATCACTTAAAATATAAAATAAGCTATTTCAAGTTTCATTATTTATATTTTAATTGTCTGTGGCTTTCAATGGCTTAGTTATTTAAAATGCCACATGTGTATTGACAATCAATTAAACTTCAGTATCTCTAACATCAATATCTCAGATGTCTTGGTTTTATCGTGTGTAAGATAACACGGTTTGACTGTACATTACACAGATATTTCCAATAGGAAATGTTTGAAGCATTTACTGGTATACAGAAATAAATATTCATGTACTATGAATTGATAACCTGTCTATAATGAAATTATATTTTTTCCACTGTTTCATTTTTCTTTTTTAGGGCAATAAAAACAAGAGACCTGGCAAATCACGAAGACTTTCAGCCAAAAGTAAAAAGAGGAAATGAAATTTAATAATTTAGTGATCTGTTGTTGTTTTTATTACAAAAACGGTGCTGGTGAACTTCATGAAAGTGTTCTGACTGAATTGCTTTGTGAGCTATTGTGGAAGAGCCATAACTATAAAATCTTAGGGGAGGGAGGGGAGGGGGGAGATCAACACAAAGTAATGCTTCAAAGTTTAGATTTTATCTTTGCTTTGAGATTTCAAAAAATAATTTTTAATTTTTTAAACATGTATGTATGCATGCATGTTTCAATAAATTCTAGAGAAATGTTTGTGTTATTTTATTTCCATAAAATTATGACTGTACACAAAATTGGTGTTGCACATTCTTACTTAAATTAAGAACCTGCATTATTTATAACAAATAACAGCTTTATTTAAACATGGCCTCAGCACCCCTGCTTCACATTCACAATTTTTAGAATGTCCTGATTTTGCCATGCACTTCAAACACACAGTAACAATTAATGAGATTGCAATGATTACAGTATTTAAATGAATTAAGACAAATAATTAAAACACATTTTCCTAGTTCATGTTCTCTGTTTGTTCCTTTACTCTCCAGGCAGCGTCCATATATTTTGTGATAGGAGTATTTTGTCTGAAAAAGTTAAGCCTGCGATCTGACCTATCGGAGTCAATCTGAAATTAAAATGCATAAATTGCTCATTTATATTACCTATAAAGGTGAAAATTAGTATTTAAAAATTTTCTAAAAACAATTTTTTTTATACAGCTCTCCCCTTTCCAAATTAAAAAAGGAAAAAGAAACAAAGATGCTGTAGTTTCTATTTAACTTCATTCTCAAAAAAAATAATCTAAACCTTCATAAAAAAAAGAAAATATAATAATTATATTATTGATGAAAGTGATGTTAAAAATTCTGGTCAATTATTTTTCTCTTACCAGAGGCTTGGTAATCCAGCCCTACCCACAGGTGGGCGAATTTTTTCACTGGTTCTTGGTTACACAACATGATTTCTTTTTGAAAATTGAACTGTTCGAAAGGAAAACAGGGCAAAATTGTTTAATAAAAAGGGCGAAAAATAATTTGGTTGGTCAGAACAGGTATAACTTTACAGTAATTATATTATGTGATGAAATGATGTTAAAAATTCTGGTCAATTGGATAAACCTTCTTTGGTATTGGGCAAACCTGTTTTAAAGTCTTAAAAATTAAGAGAGATCGATTGATTCCACTTGAGCACTTTACTATGACATCTTAAACTACAGATGTAGATCTTATAAATGTTACACATGTGGGACATTAAAAAATGTTACTAAACAAGAATAGATATTCACTAACTGTAAATGATTTTCATGTTTTGAATTCTTATATTTGATTAAGAAATGTAATGCAAATAGCTACTTACCATCCTCTTCACCCTCCTCTGTGTCGTGCCTGGAATTTGGCTTTCCTGTGATCACATGAACTTAAAAAGAGGACAAAATTACTTTAAAATTTAGTGTCATATAGTATTTGATAATGCAGTCATGTTTTAAAGTCTTTAAAAATCAGGAGAGATTGATTCCCTCCACTTGAAAAGTGGGAGGGTATATAGTAATTGGTATGTCCGATGTAGATCTTGTAAATGTTACACATTGGGGACATTAAAAAATCCTCTTTAACCACTGAATGAAATTTAATGAAACTTTCACAGAATCTTTATTACATATTGCCATTGTGCACCTCCTATTTTATTTTTTGATCCGACGTATTTTGGGTTTTCCGGCCACAGCAAAACATGGACTTCTTCCATTATAATCATATGAGAGGCGGGGGGTATCATTTATGAGCTCATTGCTCACAGTACCTCTAGTTTGGCTATTTATTACAACAGTAGTAAATTTAGTAGTATTGAGTAAGCTTTTCTTTACTCATGTAGGAAAAATTAACTTCATAAGCACAAGTGAATTAGAAATAAATGCTTTTCTTTGCTCATGTAGGAAAAATTAACTTCATAAGCAAAAGTAAATTAGAAATAATACAATTTTCTTATCTTTAGGAAAAATTAACTTCACAAAGAATGATTAGCACAATTACCCAGTCACTGCATAGATTGAACATGTATTCTTCTCTCAAATGATAAATGATATTGTCTTCATCTTAATCCAATTCACAGTTTTTTTGCAACTCAGTTATTTATTAGATGTTTATATCAGTGCTCAATTTATCTACGGTAAAAAAAATCTAACTTCGATCTCCTTTTACTTACTTTTTTTGAATGGATTAACACTATAATTTGTGTATAATTTTTGATGTCGTTGTTCTTTAGTTATTGTTTCACACAAAATAGCATTTTGGTGCACAAAATTTACAGGATCCTTTTCTTTTGAAGCTGCTGCAGCTTTAGCCATGATTGTGTTTTGTGTTTTTTTTCCCGGATGTTACGTAAAATTGTTGAATGGTTGCTAAGACGAGAGAAAATTGAAAGGCCAAGCCCGATTTAAAAAAAAGATCTACAAATCTTGTTAAAGCCTTGTTTTTAATTAAATTTAAAAACGAAGCTATGATTTATTTTTTTCTTTTCCTCAGTTTTGATTTTTTTTTCTTTCTGTTGTTAATTGGGTATTTGGATACCCACATTTCTGTGAATGTGGTATTTTTTTTTTAAAGGCTGGCTTGATAAAAAAAAATTGTGATAAATGAATGAAATATGTACATAAAATTTAACACTAACTTTATTTATTTATTCATTTTATTTTGTTTATTTGTGTAAATTATTAATTTTTTGAGTATTCAAATTATATATTTCCTTTCAAATAAAAAAATGTATAATTGTAATTTTTTTGTATAATATGTGTGAAAAATCATCGTATCTTGAATATGAAATGGACAATTTAATTGATTATGTGTATAATAATAATACCTTGCAGTTATTAAACATTGCCCTTGTAGTCAGTATTGGGTTTTTCCGGGTCATTAGTAAAATCATAACGGGAAGTGACGCCATCTTGCAAGAAACATCCTGTACAGTTACAAATAACGATAATAACAAAGAATTTTAAGCATATGCAGGTTTGTAATTGGGATTATATGCATCTTTTTAAAACATGTGAAAGTATTTACAACTGGAAGCAGCCTCTTGAATATATTCCAAGGTTTATGAAGTGCATTCTGTGATGTTTATCCTATTCTGAAAAATCCAATTGCTTCCCTTTGTTTTGTATGTTGAATATTGATATAAAAACGTAAGCTTAACGTAATATTTACATAATACACAGTCGTTTTTGGCATTGTGCTCGATGTTTTACATAAATACATTAAATAATGTGTATTTTACAAGCTTAGTTTTATTCAGAGTATGATTTTCGATTTATCGTCTTCTCTCACACGTCATCCAATGTATTTTAAATCAAAAATATTTGTATTAATGTCTCAGATGAAATATTACAGTTTGGTCATTGTAAAGCACAATCACTTGATTCATTTAGCTGAAATATGAAGATACTCCGATTTATATAAACTTCTATGCTTACAAATTTCGGATTCATTTCCAAACTGAAAACACAGATGGATAGTATAGTTTGATTCATGGAACAAAATATGATCCTGCTTTCATAGCCTATAAATTAACACATCTTCACTTTTGGCATGGAAATAAATTTTAGTAGAGTATCAAGCAGGTTTTATGACTTATAAAAATATATATATTTCTTGAATTGAAAGGTTTGAACAAGTTTTATTTTGTCATTTTTAGCCATGTTATAGATAGTTTTCGATTGACCAAGAGTTACTTCCCGTTGGCCGCCATACTGGAGGTCCAAACGCTCATATTCCTTCATTGTTCAACCAATTTAAAATTTTTATATTTGCTATTCTGAATTAGAAATCATTATTTTTCTGAAGTATATAAATTTTTGGAAGCCTCCTTTATTTAAGAAAAATTATTTGATAAAGATTTTCCACCAAATATTTCTGCTTTAGTTTCTTAAACTTGGTAAGACAAAGAGGGAAAATCAAATGTATCGATATGTGTATCGACCTCCATATATGGCGGCCATATATCGGGAGGTAACTTTCGCTAAATTCAGGCCTATCGAAAACTATCTATAGAACATACTGTAGATAAACAATGAAGTGGGAAAATATAGTTCAATCTCTGTTGTCTCTCTGATACAATCTCACCAACTTTCCATGTAATTGTGATATTATAAATTATAATTTCCTTGGCCTTTCTGGCTTTTGAAAGACAGAGCAAAAACTGGTGTTGCTTATTAGCATGAAATGAATATTTAAAAAAAAAAAGGAAAAAAGAAGGTGGAACCTAGTGTCTGAAGGAACTAACAGATATTGGGAAGATACTTTTGCTGATTTTCAGCTGTTTTGTGTAAACTGATAACCTGTCCTAGGGGCCATTTTTTAATAAAAATAAAATAAATACAGGTAACAAGCATCATATGTTTAAATTTCAGACATTGCTGTAATATTGAAGATTTCTTAATAATTTAACTGTTTAATTACATGTATATTCATTTAATAATAATGATAATTTCAATATAAATTATAATATATTTTATTTCAGTAAAATCCAATTTATACACATTGATGGATCCATGGATCCAGAATATGAAAAGAGACTTCTAAGGCAGCAGAATGGACAGATTTCTCCCTATGCATCGGTAATTTTTTAAAAAAAATTTATTTGTGATGGCAAAAGTTAATTAAGATCATGCAAAAAAGAACATTTTCTGAAATTTTATTTAGTGCTTAGTTACTTTAATGCAATTTACAACAAAGTATAAAAATTTAAACACATAATAATTGAAAATTGCCCATTGAATTTCATATACATGTATCCAAACTCTTTCTGAATGTTATCAGAAAATTCTACTTACTGTATTTTTTCTAAATAATACAAGGATTTGAAATATCACAATTTAGTGAATTCAAGTTATAAATTTATGTCAAAACTTTGACAAATATTTAGGCAAAGTACATCCAATACTTTATAATTATGTATTTTAATTTACATTTGCTGTTTTTCCCTCCAGCCACTCTCGCTGAGTCCCAGACTTAGCCCCTCCAGTCCTATAGCTTCTCCAAGCAAGGACAAGTATGGTGACCGGTTCATTCCTAGTCGTGCAGGTGCTAGCTGGCAGATCAACTTCAATTTCTCAAAGGTATTTTAAACAGATTATAAAGAGAGTGTTTTTATTTACGTAAAGCCACATTTCACAATTTGATTGTTATTATAAATTTTTTTTAACTAAAAAATTACACACAACCCAAAGAAAAAAGGCAAGATAACAGACTCTAAATATCCTTTTGTATTACAGTCAATAAAAATGTAATATTGTGTTGTTGACCATCATATCTAGTGTGGTATAAATATCTAGTTTTATTTATATTATTTTTTTTTATTGTATTTGTACAACATATAAAACAAAGATAAAAAATCTTTCTTTGACTCCAGGGAAGTCCCACCTCATCACCAACCCCCTCCTCCAAGTCCAAAGACTCGGCCAACGACTCAGCTAAAGATGGATTGGCTTACTCGTGTTTATTGAAAAATGAATTGTTATCAGCAGGAATAGAAGATCTCAAGGTACTTAATAGTCAGAAACATCTTTAGTGTCTTAAATACACTTTAAAGAAAATTTTTTTTGGTAAAAACGGATTTGGAAATATTGATTCATTAATTTCTTGTAATAGAAGAAAAAAAGAAACATGCACAAAGTTTCAAAATTGAACACTTCACAGATTTAGGAATCTGTTACTTGTTACGTTTGGAGGGTAAAACAGCAGCTTGACTGGTGGTTAAAAATTTTTTTTGCACAAACTACTGATGCAAAGTTGTACTTACACTTTAAATATGATTTCACATTATTATCCACAGCATGATCATCTGTCAGATGACAGGAAGATACTTGTTCCAAAGGAGAGTCAAAATCTATTTAGGGTAAGTTCTATGGACATACCGAACACATACTGCACAAGTTTGATCTCCATTAAGCATGTAAATCAGCATAGTATGTTTTTGTGAATTTATCATCCACTGAATTGTATGCTTTCATGGTTAGATCCTGGATTTCTAGTTTATTTATTGATTTGGGGAAGGATTAAAAATAAAGTAGTCAGATTAAAAAGAAAGATATGTGAAGCCTGCAATAGTAATTTGATTATGAAATGAATAATATGCAAATGAATTCCATTTCAAATGTTAATTATTCATTACATATGAATATAAGTTTCCCAGCATGTGTATGATTTTTTTTTTGTAGAGGTACACATATGTTTGTTCCTTTTATTTGAAAATTTGAAAGTTGCTTAAGCATTGTACATATTTTGTTTCCAGTACCATGTCCCTCGCAGAAGTCTGGACTTCAGCGATTCCTCTCCTTACTCTTTGTCCCCTGTGGGAAGCAAAAGCCAAAAACTTCTTAGATCACCACGCAAAGTAAGTACTTTATCTAAGGCTTTCAAAAATCCTTTCACATACCATACAAAAAAAAAATTACAAAGCGTAAGGTATATACAGTATATTATATGGGGGAAAAAATGGTGGAAACTTTTGATAATTTAATAATTAATACATTTGATCCTTTTGCAGGCTGTCAGGAAGATATCAAAGATTCCATTTAAGGTGCTGGATGCCCCTGAACTACAGGACGATTTCTATTTGAATCTAGTCGACTGGTCCTCCCAGAATGTGCTAAGTGTAGGACTAGGAACCTGTGTGTACTTATGGAGTGCATGCACTAGTCAAGTTAGTACTCCATACATGTATCTACTATACCAGTAATAGAGTGCATAAATTGTCATGCAAGTTATCAAAAATGTACAATGTGTCCATGTCATTTTTGACCGTAATAAATGTAAATTATAAGATTCTGACAATTTTTCACCGATTTAGCATCAGTTAATGATTGGAACTAGAAAAACCATGAAACAAATTACAAACACTGAAACTTATGATATGTTTCTTTTTCAGGTGACCAGATTATGTGATCTCTCCAGTGACAACGACACAGTGACCTCTGTCTCCTGGTCAGAAAGGGTCAGTTACACGGTTTATGTTCTGTAAACAAATATTTATGTAAATTAGAATAAATTTGTAGGATATGATATGGTATGATAAGTAGCTTGAACTGAAAGTTATCCCTCTTGTTACTTTGTATTTGTATATGACTTGTAATTACAAGGAAAGCCTCACCTTTTGATTGGTCAGGTTATTCATATATCATCAGACTACATAATCAAAGCTTTCTGAGGACGTTCAAATTTTGATTTTCTTAAAATATCCTTATTTCAAACACTTATTGTTTGGAAAATACTTTAAAATTGTATGATAATAAAATTGCATGTCATATGATGATATTAATTTCTTTACTGTCATCGTTAGGGTCACTTGGTAGCTGTGGGAACTCACAAAGGATATGTTCAAATCTGGGATGTAGCAGCAACAAAGAAACTGAACACATTGGAGGGTCACAGTGCCAGAGTAGGTCAGTATGGCTTGTATGTATGTTACATGTATACAGATAAAACAAGCATAATTACCCTTCAATAAATGATGCAAGAGCTTGTAGATGTATATAAAAGTTATAGACAGTCTACTTATTTGATTATTTATGCCTTTAATGTTGAGGACTTACAATGTATGGGTGAATGGTGTGAATAAACAGTACAAAATATGACCATGGGTAGGGTTAGAACCATTATGAACAGAAAATCATTGTGATATTTTCCAGGATATTTGAAATCATATAATTTTGAAACTTTAAGCAACATGGTATGACCATGAAATGTGTAAAATTCTTGTATTAGACATAATTGCTTAATTGGGAAACAGTGTCTATATAGTCCTTATGACTTATCACTTTTTTTTCAGGGTATTAAAGTACATTGTATTATTGAAATTGAAGAAAAATTTGACAAAAGACTTTGAACAGGTTTTGTTGAGAAATCCTTTATAGAAAAATAAATCAGAATGCTGGAACGAGGTTAATTATAATCAATTTGCTTCATAATTTTCACAACAGGTGCTTTAGCTTGGAATACAGACATGTTATCCTCTGGAAGTCGAGACAGACTGATCTTACAGAGGGACATCCGAACACCATGTGTCCTCCCTGACCGCAAACTGACCGGTCACAGACAGGAAGTGTGTGGACTCAAATGGTCACCTGACCACCAGCATCTAGCATCTGGTGGTAATGACAATAAACTGTATGTGTGGAACATGACTAGCACAAATCCAGTGCAGACATACAATGAACATTTAGCCGCTGTGAAGGCTATAGCCTGGTCCCCTCATCAACACGGACTGCTGGCTAGCGGTGGGGGGACTGCTGACCGCTGTATCCGATTCTGGAACACGCTAACCTGCCAGCCATTACAGTGTGTGGACACTGGCTCCCAAGTGTGCAATCTTGCCTGGTCAAAACACTCCAATGAATTGGTAGGTTATGCTACAGAGTATGTTTCATACAGATTGTCAAAGATTTTTATGATGAAAGATTTAAAGATAAAGAAAAGGAGACGTGTATTTTTATAGTTTTGTAAAGCTAACAAAACATAAAGGAATTCAAATTTCATTTCAATTTTCTTTTTAGGTCAGCACTCATGGATATTCACAGAATCAGATATTAGTGTGGAAATATCCCTCCCTTGTTCAGATTGCCAAGCTAACAGGCCATACATACAGAGTTTTATATTTGGTAAGGATTTCTAGGGTTTATGTTTAGCTTTAAATTAGGTGAATTGGTGTTTTATAAGTTATTTAGAATAAGTTCTCACACAAAAAATCTTGCATTTCATTTCAAGAGATTAAAGATAGTTAAATCCAATAAGAGAGACAAACACATCTGTCAGAAAGTATAGTTATTAGAGTTATAATTAACTAACCGGTACATTAAAAAAGTTTTCCTGAAAAATATATTTCAGCAGAAACTGACATTTAGGTTAAACAAACATGATGTTATGCACTAGATACCTTTTCACTTCTTGACAAAATCCCACAGAAAAATTCCACCTGCTTCTCTCATTCAGAATGTGCCTTATTGTTTTCCTGTTGTCGTGTATACAGGAGATCTTATTTACAATATTTATGATCTAGATCATGCAATGCTACTTGCCTTTGAGCAGTTGCACACTTGAGAATTTTGGGACATTGATATATGCATTGTATATTCTGGTCTGGTTCACTGAGTGTATCTTAGAACCATCTGACACAAACCACCTGTTAATGTCAGTGACTGATCAGACAAAAGTCAAGGGTTGTGTAAAGTTACAACTGCCTGGGAATCTTAAAAGAGCTTGCCTTTCCTTGAAATGCTATGAAAAAATTCTGTGTAGAAATATGATCAGAAAGATTTTATGTTAGTGAAACTTCAAGAGCACTTGCATTTCAGTGATAGACACTGTAATTTCTGTTTTATTTTAAAAAAAAAAAAAACATTGCAGAAAATAATAGAGTAATCGACATTCAACGTTTTTAGTCTGTATTATAACATTCTCAAAAATTATATTTTAAAAACTCTCCCAAAAGAAATGGATTGAAAAATTAAAGTACTGATAATAATACATGATGTTTTTAGTCTGTATTTTAACATTCTCAAAAATTATATTTTAAAAACTCTCCCAAAAGAAATGGATTGAAAAATTAAAGTACTGATAATAATACATGATGTCAGATATAAATCCCTTAGCATTACACATCCATATGAAAAAAATTATTTTTTTTTTTTCATAGGCAATGTCTCCTGATGGGGAAGCCATTGTGACAGGGGCAGGGGATGAAACTCTACGATTCTGGAATGTTTTCAGCAAGACTCGTTCAACAAAGGTAGGCTAGATATTCCCTGGCTGTGCACTTTATAAGGTTTATAATTTTGTTTGCATGTTATGCTGGATTCTCAAAGATTTCTCTTTTTTTATCCACAGAAGTCCAAATCTGTGTTGAATTTGTTTACACTATATTAGGTTAATAATTTTGTTTGCATGTTATGCTGGATTCTCAAAGATTTCTCTCTTCATCCACAGGAGTCCAAATCGGTGTTGAATTTGTTTACACGTATTCGCTGAGGATGGATGTCCCCTATGATGCCCGTCACACTGTGTGTTCCTTTGTTGACAGTGAACCTGTTGATAAGTTGTTGTTCCGATATATGTGTTTTATGTCAGTGATTTGTTTTAGTGACTGTGTTTTACCAGGTCTAATGATGTTCTCCATATTGTCAATCATTACTGACCATGACTAGATAGATAATTGTGAAAGTAAATATGCGCTAGATATATATGGTACATGTTTGGTGCATGTATGGGACTTCTTGGCTGTGTTATTTTACATAGATTACCTCACTGCCGCAATTATTTGATCAGTGATGAATATGTTTACACATTTATTTTCAAGACATAACACTGTCAAGTGATTTTCTACAGTCACAGAATCAAAACATCAAAAATAAGTTAGAATTCTGAGTTACTTTTAGTTACTAATGCAGTTTTATACTTTGAAAATTTCTTTGGATTGTACACCCAAATGCAAAATTGTAAGAGTTTTAATCATCATTTCTAAGAAGAATATCTGTAGCTTTATTTCATTGATTTTAAATTACTGTTTGCATTTGCCATACCTGGTGTCATGCATTAATTAAACAGCATATAAGAAAACAGAATTGCTTTAAACACAGAAAAAAAATGTTCTAAGCACCATCTTCCAATTTTATGACATGTACAGACAATAAGTTATTTTGAAGGCATGTCCTTTGAATAGTATAGAATTTGGCTATTTTTTGTTTTACTTTGTTTTTTCTTTTAATCTCCTCAAAAATTATAGAAAGGATTCCTTTTTTATGTACACATTGACTGTGACCCATTGTTTTATTTATATATAACCTAAATTGCAAGGAAGCAGCTGCATAATTTTTGTTAGCAGAAATATATGTTCATTATAATAAAAGATTTTGTACCAAAATACTGCAGTTTGATCTTTGATATTTTCTCTTCATGTTTCCAGTTATTTCTCTAATTAACTTAAAGGATAATACATGTAATGTGAAAATCAATGGGGGGGTATAGGAAATCCACAAAATATGTAAAATTATTGAATTCTGCAGGCAAAGCTTTCTGATATGATGTTAAAGACAAGCCTTAGGATGTTTTATGAAGGAGAAAGTGTATTAATTTTTCAGTCTCATATTTTTACAAAGGTGATGGTGGCAGCTAAAGATAAAAACACAACCTTGAAGGTCTAGGAAATGAAGTACATTGTAGTATCAGTAGGTTTTACAAATCTGTAAGATGTTTGTGACCTAATGCTTCTTACTGACAGTAGGGGTCTAAGAAACTTTTCAGTAGTACAGACGTACTTGTTAAAATGCTTGAGGAGTAGTGTTCTTGGAATAATATGACACTCCACGCCAAGGGAATGTACTGTCCTGTGACTTCCTTTTTGATACAGTAAGTTCACTAAGTTGCCAGCTTAAAAAAGGCACCTAGCACTAACCATGCACTGAAAGGTTAAAAATCGCTGTCATCTGCTAATTAATATCTTGAATGTACTAAAGTAAAGAGGGTTAGATGAAATGCTGATAAAAATAAAGATTGAACAAGTATGGCACATGTATAGGAAGAGAATGGGGCGTGATAGGATCTGGGTTACGTGACATGGACCTTGTGCTCGTGTCAGAATTTTCCTTTGATTCTATCGTCTGCTGCTCTTAAGATGCTGAATTTCTGTTCCTTATTTAGAAGAATATTTGTAGTTGCACTCGTGTCACTTTGAATAGCTATTAGTGTAAGTACTGAATAAAAATGAAAGTAAAGTGTTTATAAACCTCAAGCATCTGGGACACGCTAGGTTTATTTGAGTTTATGCTTTGCACTATCAACAAAAACAGTCTTTGTTTTCCAGTCCTTTTGAAATTTATGATTTTCTAAACAAAGACAGGGTTGACTTTTATTATGTGTTCTTTGATATTTTACCACTTTAATTCTTAAGTTTTGTAATTCTTAACAATACAATTAAAATTCTTTCCTTAAACATTCAATAACGGAATGTAATAAACATCTGTAAGATATTTCCTTATTGTAATTTTAAAAATTGTTCAGGCTTCAGAAACGGTCGAATTGTGTTCTATCTTTAGGATGTAGTTTTGTTCCCCCCATCCATTCCCACACGAAAACATACATTTCAAATACATACTTTGCTAATACATGTAAATTGATATTGAAACTTTTAGTAGAAGTCTGTTCCCAGCGCTTTATTGCATAATTGTCAAATCGAAAAATTTAATTTTTGACCATAAAAACTTTTCCTTTTTGTCTTTGTTAATTTTTTTTTTTGATATCTTCTCATTTATTTTACTAGTCCCTCTTTTGAAAAATTAGTGCAATTTGCTTACATGTATATCAGCTGTCCTTCAGTCATATTTTCGTTTAGAGAGGAAGGGGTCTCCGCGTACAAATTGCATTCCATTTAAAGTCTGCTCACTTAAAAACATATTAATTTATGCTATTCTTCAACATCCATAATTTTTTTTTTAAAAATGCTATAAAATCGATAAGGAATGCAGTTTTAGGGACATCAATTATTGTATGAACATGTATCGTTTTACAGTCCCGGATATGACGTAATTTTATTTGTGGTCGTTAAATATCTAACGGATTTCGTCCTTTTATAGCCAAACTCATCCTTCGTTGAAATTAATACCAATAATAATTAAAAAGACCATCGATACAGGATTCATTTCCTATCGATAAAGGTCCGTAAACAACAGAGAGACTGCATTGCAATACGTCCAAAAACTCACGGATTCAATCAAATCTTTGATGACGTTCGAATTGATTTCTTTATTAGCAGCTTATAAATCAAACAGTGAGCCGCGCTGGCTGCAGATGTTTTCTTGTGATAGACCTGATCCCCAAACAAAAAAAATATTGCCCTTCACAAAAGCCGCCTATCGTCCCCTAACGCCGCTCTTATCTGGCTGTATGCACGATTGAGTACTTCCGAATTTCATCAAAATATAGCTGTTTTACTAAGTGATTTCTTGAAAGCATTCAAAAGGGGAAGCACGCGTAGAAAGATGTCAAGAGGAAACTTGGGCCGCTAAGACGAAGCGTGTCCTTGTGGTAAATGAAGTGCTGCACTTCGAACACCAATTCAATTTAAAGCTCTTTAATTTGTGATTCTCACTCAGGTGTGGGGTATTAAAATTAAAGTTATTAAATAAACCGGTCAGAAATACTTCAAGCAAATTCTTTTACGAAACCACTTTGTTGGAAGCTCAGGTTTTAAATCTGATAGATGTTAATGGAAACAAATAAACAATTTATCACATTACGTTTCACCCCGATGTTTAATATCATGACATGATATCGTTGTTAATTTTTTTATTTTTCCCTTATGAATTACATGTTTACTGCTTGTTCTTGCTATGGACAATGGTTATTAATTCTTTGTAAGTTTGGCATTAAAAATCCTGCGGTTTATTTTCCTTTTAGACTAACCATACGTACACAACTCCTGATGAATTTTTCGAAAAGATACGAATGTTGTGTCATAAAAGTGATTTTTTAGGCTTAGTGGGTCTTTGTTCCATATTTTTTTTTAACCATAGAATGCACATGTGTATTTCTATACAAACTTTTAGGATTAACTTTCAAAAAGAATGGCCGAAGACCAAGTTATATAAAAAGAAATGTGTTTTAGAATAAAAACAAGATGTGTTTGTGAAACACTGATGCCCCCGTATGGCAACGTAGCAAAGATTAAACTTTTCTTAAATGCAAATTTAATATATTGGTACTAAAAGTAGGGTATTTTCACTGGAAATACAATTGTGAAATATGAAAGAAGGCCAAGGTTAAAGCATACGGGGGCATCAGTGTTTCACAAACACATCTTGTTTTAATATAAGATAAAATATCGAAGTTTAAAAGTTACGCGTTTATTCGCGAAAGTTTGTCGTTATAACGCGAAAAATATATTTTTTTTAACCTACCAAAATGAGCTCAATGGGCTTTCGTACAATGGGCTTTCGTACAAAGTAAAATTTCGTTAAATTTGATATAATTGGGATTTAATTTTTCAGCTTCATGTTTGTCGCACTACAATCATTTTACTCGCCTTGTTCAACCAGCTTCTTTATCAAATTTCGATTGATTTATACAATTATTACAGACTAATTACAGAATTCTAAAACGTTATAAATTTACATGAAATAGCCGGAGATAACAAAAAGTATTCAAGCTCAAAAGTCCATTAAACAATACAGAAGCAAACACGAACCTCTAATAAAATCAAGAGATCAGGTGCCATGGAGGAGTAAGCATCCCCTGCGAGCCGGTCACACCCACCGTGTGCTCCTTATCATGATCAGGAAATAACGGGAAAATCCGTGGACAATTCAGTGTCTATATATATATATAATGGCCTAAAAACCAGTATTACCCTAACAAAAAAATACTATAGCTAACTATAGTTAACTATAGTAAATCAAAGTGTCAAAGTTTTCGCCAAAGTTTTTCAAAGTGTCAAAGTTTTCGATAAAGTTTTTCAAAGTGTCAAAGTTTTCACCAAAGTTTTTCAAAGTGTCAAAGTTTTCGCCAAAGTTATTCAAAGTGTCAAAGTTTTCGCCAGTTTTTCAAAGTGTCAAAGTTTTCGACAAAGTTTTTCAAAGTGTCAAAGTTTTCGATAATTTTTTTCAAAGTGTCAAACTTTTCGATAAAGTTTTTCAAAGTGTCAAAGTTTTCACCAAAGTTTTTCAAAGTGTCAAAGTTTTCACCAAAGTTTTTCAAAGTGTCAAAGTTTTCGTCAAAGTTTTTCAAAGTGTCAAAGTTTTTCAAAGTGTCAAAGTTTTTCAAAGTGTCAAAGTTTTTGTCAAAGTTTTTCATATCAAAGTTATCATAAATCAAAGTTTTCAAAGTGTCAAAGTTATCACTATAGTTAACTATATAGTAAACTATACTTAACTATAGTATTTTTTTGTTAGGGTAAAAACGCTTGTCAGCATTTGACTCAGACCCGTAAGAAGCAATTTCATTTGGGGGGGGGGGCAAACTTTTTCAGTGGGGGACACGATCAACTACCCAAAAATTCCTTGACGAGAAAAAAAAAGATCAAATTTTACTACATTATTAGCTCTCCTGAGCCAAAGGCTCAAGTGAGCTTTTCTAATCAAAAGGATGTATTCACTTTGACAAAAGAATATTGACCTATAGGAGAGAACAATTTCCCGGAAAAAGTGACATTTAAAAATTAATCTTTATTTGTTGTTTTTTACCGTATATATGTCTAAATTTTTCAAATTTGTATTTTATATCTAAAATTTATTATTTACAACTTGACAATAAACCTCCAAAGTTGGCCGAAACATTAACAGTTAAAGCGTTGATTTTTGCATGAATTTTGGCCTAGAAGTCCTTCAGGGCAGGCCTGCCCCTAAATAAATTTGTGATATTTTTATAGGTTTGGATGTAAGGAATAATTTAAGATATAATTTTTTTTAGGGGCACCCCTGCCCTACGGTCGAAATTCACAAAAAACCTACAAAAAATAAGGAAACCTGATTTTGATAATCTGCTTCAAATTTATACCTTTAAATATTAAAATCAGACTAGCTCAGTTGATATTGCGCTGAATTTAACACCGTGCAAACTAACATTTCAAAGTCGTGAGTTCGAATCCACCTAGTACCACACCATAAAAGTTTTTAATTTTCGCGTTTTTAAAGAGTATTTTAATATTTTTTAATGGACTTTTGTATTTCCCTTCAATTATCTATCCTTTATGCCCATTCTTGATATAAGAAACACTAAAGAGATATCAAATCGTAAAAATCCAATGTACAGTTGTAAGTCAGGCGGAACAAACTTCAGTATACACACACTTTCTCCGAGGACAAGAATAACTCACTCTGTGTTACTCAATACAGGTACTCTTGGCAGCATTGAGCTGCGATGAATATCAATTGTATATATTCCTTAGAATTTAATAACATTGATTTTGGGTACATATATCAGTAACTGTACTCCCTCGGATTTGATTTAGGCCTATATAATTTGCACACATTAATGGCATGTTTTTTATATTCACGGAAAAAATAGCCTAGACATAAAGAATAGAATTTCAGAGGTAGTAAACATTACCATTATGCACAATGCAAGTAAAGAAAAATATCAGTTATTACATTTGGAGATAACAAACTCAGAAAATCAATGTAATAACTGAAATAAAGATTTAGGAAAAACAAATTGTTACATGTTTTTAGCCTAATGTCATTAATTAGAACGGAAATCGACAAGGTTTTTGTAGAGAAAAAACCAAGCCCGGTCCTACAGGTCAAATCCCTATTTATAATGAAGTGATCCTTTGTCCGTTGTCTGTCGTCGTCGTTGTTGTCGTCGTTGTAAACTTTTCACATGTTCATCCTCTTCTCAAGAACCACTGGGCCAATTTCAACCTAACTTGCTACAAGGTATCCTTGGGTAAAGGGGATTCAAGTCTGTTCAAATGAAAGGCCACGCCCTTTTCCAAGGGGAAATAATTATGAATTAGATAAAAATTAACGGCATTTTAAAAAAATCTTCTCAAGAACCACTGGGCCAGAAAAGATGAAACTCATGTGGAATTATCTTCAGGTAGTGTAGATTCAAATGTGTTCAAATCATGACCCCCGGGGGTAGGATGGGGCCAAAATGGCCAATCAAAGTTTTACATAGGAAAATATAGGAAAAATCTTTAAAAATCTTGTTGTCAAGAACCACTGGGCCAGGAAAGATGAAACTCGTGTGGAATTATCCTCGGGTAATGTAGATTCAAGTCTGTTCAAATCATGACCCCCGGGTGTAGGGTGGGGCCAAAATGGCCGATCAAAGTTTTACATAGGAATATATAGGAAAATCTTCTTGTCAAGAACCACTGGGCCAGGAAGAATGAAACTCATGTGGAATCATCCTCAGGTAGTGTAGATTCAAGTTTGTTCAAATCATGACCCCCGGGGCGAGGGTGGGGCCAAAATGGCCAAAGTTTAACATTGGAAAATCGGGAAATCTTTTAAAATCTTCTTTTCAATTACTTCAAAGCCATGATTAGTAATATTTATATGGAATCATCCTCAGGTAGCGTAGATTCTAGCATGTTCAAATAATGATCACCTGCATGGGGGGGGGGGTTAAAATTCAAGCCCCCCCCAACCTCAGTAAACTTTCAGTTCTGATCTGATATGTGCTTTTTCCTAGCCGATGTACTCAGGTGAGCGCTGTGGCCCCTGGGCGTCTTGTTCTATATATATCGGGGAAATTAATGGGGAATAACAACCCCCTGGTTCCTACGGCCTTGTGACTTAATGATAAATAGTATTATGTAATGGATGTATGATTGTATAAAACAATCTCATGTATCTTTTTTAAATACACTTATACAGCGCGGGTTATATGGTATGTTTTGTCGAGGAATTAGTCAAAGCACAATTAAGGTACACAGGGTAAGTATCATTTTGAGATGACAGTTTGAAGACACGGTGAAATATTCCTAAATCGAGAACAGCGCACTTTTTGTGAGCATATACACTTTTTTGAGTTTTTTCAGTGGGCGACACTATACATGTCACTGGCGTCGTTGGCGTCGGAGGCAAATTGAAAGTGTGTGTGTGTGTATGGGGGGGGGGGGGGGGGTAAGTCTAAATTTTTTTAGACCTTCAAAAATCCTGACAAGCAAAAAAAGTCTCTTGTCCAAACACGAAAATCCTATTTCGTGGGGGGGGGGGGGGGTTTCGAACTTCAGTAACAATTTTTTTTTTTCCAAACACCACCACTTTCCCCATTTTAGACCTATACTGCAACGTGTCTTTGGAAAGGGGGGGGGGCAAAACCTACACAGCATTGTTCCATGTCTATACTAAACCCATCCCCCCCCCCCCCCCCCCCCCCCCTTCCCCGAGGCCTATGCATGTAGCTCTATAACCTCCGGTCTTTCAATATATTTTTATAAGAGAGCTATAGACCTACACCTCTGCAGCTTAAGTTCTAAGAATTTGTGTTTGAACCATTCGCATAATGTGTATAAAATTTGTACTCACCATTAAATTAATCTACAGTATACGGCCATAAGTTATTCTTAATTGCATCCTAACAATTTATTTAATTGACGAACCAATTTTTATAAGAATTCGTTCCGAGATCAATTTTAGCTCAAATTCATGATTTTTTCACTGAATCATGCAGATTTATTCAAACAAAATGATGCACTAATCATTGAGAATAAATTATGAAATTGTCAGGACAAAAATTTCTAACCTCAAATTACTATGATTTCTTAACAAATTAAAGTCTTTTATTTTTTATTTCGCACTTAACCTGTGAATTCACCGCAATGACTGCAGATAAAATTATTTTGCAATAATGTGAAGAAACTGCAAAGAATTCTGCACTTTATGGTATTTTATTCTTAAAAAATGAGCAACAAAGAACATTGCAATAATATTTTAGAAAAAATGCGTTTTCCAGTTAAATATATAGTGGGAAAATAAAATTATAACTGACTCACTTATGGCCAGGTACTGTACATTATCAAATTTGTAACAAACTTCTCCAATAAAATAGGCAGTTAAACTGATTCTATATCTATATAATAATTAAACTTCGTCAATTCGACTACAGGGTGAATAAATCATATTGAAAATTAATTGTACTCTGTACTTGAATTATATTAAATAGAATTTCATGTCTTTTTGATAAAATTGAGCGCTTATGCTCACCCAAATTCGAGATGAAAAGTAGCAGTTTTAAAATGCGATTTCTTGCAATGTAGCGATGCTTTTTTCCTCCTATTTGTGTAATCTATAAAAATCACTTAAAACAATCAATACCTTTATATAATTTGGCTTAAAGAAAACCAACTTAATGACATTAATATATGCCCTATACACATGTAATATGAATTATATGAAGAATAGTATAAGCGTTTATTTAAAAAGAATAAAACTAAATGAATTAAAATACAGTTGAACTTGGGTATCTCGAACACTGAAATCTTGAGTGCGTGTTTGTCGAATTGATTTGGAAGTGCCAACCACTTATTTTTTTAAGTATTTTATCCCCGATATACCTCGTATATATCTCAACGTTTTTCTTGGTCACATGGAATGTGAAGTTTGACTTTACTTTATAACAGGCACGTAGTATCAGGGGGCGCCAGGGGGGGCCTGGCCCCCCCCACTTTTTCTCCCGACATTACCTTTACTATAGAAAATGTATACTGAAAGGAAGGTTGGCCCCCCTACATTTCAGCACAGTGTAGTGTTATAAAGAAAATTTACCCCCAAAAAGTTTGAATTGAAAGATAGTTGGTCTTGAAAAAAGTTAGCCACTACCCCCCCCCCCCCACGAATCCCCCCCCCCCCCCACGAAATAGGATTTTCGACTTTGGGCAACTTTTAATATTTCGTTTTTTTTTTTTTTTTTTTTTTTTTTTTTTTTTTTTGTCAACTTTTTCAGGTAAGTAAAAAAAATTTCTCTGGTAGGCCCCCCCACTTTCAAAAACGATGCCACGTGCTTGTATAATAATACAAATAGCAAATATTAAATCAAAAACAGTATACATGTAGATTGTATTTCTCTAAAACCATGAAAAGAAATATGCACAAACACACAGAAATAACATTATCTCGCCCATTTTACATCGTTAGATATGTTACAAAAGAACACTGTCACGATTAAATCATGTGAAGAAAATATATTTTTTATGCTGAATGAAGACTCTCATCATCTGAAGACTCGTCGTGATAATCCCTTTTCCACCCCTCTGTAATGTCTTGTTCAGTTTTCACGCGCTTGACGTCACCGTGATCCTGGTATTCGAGAACATTTTCCAGAAGTCTTATATAACGTATCGTACAACGAAGAATCTCATGTTTGCTGAGTTTTTTATCTGGTGGATGAGTCGGAACCAGTTTTCTTAGATCGGCAAACGCACCATTGACGTTCTGCTGTCGCCAGCGTTCACGACTGTTCGTAAACATTCGCTTATGACGTAATTTTTGAACGGCGACGGGTTCGTTTTCGGTCTCGTTGGCCTGAGAGGAGCTGGACCGGCGTTGCCTGAGGTCCAGAGGTCCGTCCTGGGGCAGCCCTTCTGAGGAGGAGCTGTGATATGGGGATCGTGACGTTAGGAGGGGCACGCTCTGTAGACAGATGTAACCAGAGTCTTTCGGTTTGACGTCATAAAACACGTTATCGTCACTGTCGTCACATTCTTTACATAAAATGTCGTCTCGGTCACACGATAAACTCCTGGTGGAGCTGAGAGATTCAGGCTGTTTACAGACAGACGGACACAAAACGTCTCCGAAACACACAGGGCCAGCACCAGTGGAAATCAGCATAGGGCTGTCTGTCGTCATTTCTTTACCTCATCACTGAAAAACAACAAGAAACTGTATAGAAGTCTTCTTCATACAATGTAACTTTTTTTTTAAAAATAAACTCACCCTAATCCAACGCTGAAATTCAATTATATATTTTTATATGTGTAGTTTTTATATATCCATACATTTTCTTAAAATAATCATTTATTATACAATGTATTATTAATTATTATAATAATATGATATGTTGGAAATATTGGTTATATCATATGGACCTAAATGCTTTAGGTCTATGGTTATATTAACCACACATGTCTTACCCCTTTATTCAATAAATATCAATCACTTGAAACTCTCCTATTCCATCCGCCTCGTAATGTTATAATGCCAATTAGTACGCTTGCTTTCATCTGAGTTCCAAACAATGATGTATTTTATTATATCATTGAAATAATTTTTTTTAATTAAAAGCAATATATATTTTAGAAGTGTATATAGCAAACTTTGAAATGCGGCGAAAAATTTAAAAAAAAACACTGGATATGAGAATCTGCATTTTTTCGTAATTATTTAATTTTTTTACTTTGAGTTTTCTACCCCTCTACCTCCTTTTTTCAATGGGAGCTGGAGAAGGAATAGGATACATACAACTCATTGGATAAAAATCAACAAATTACACGGGAAAGATGTGATTAAATAGTTTTGCAAAATACATCTTATGAAAAATCGACACACACTGAAAATTTTGTCGCCTCCACAAATCTTACAAAGTAACATGTGCCAAGATTTGGTGGCATATAATAAATAAATGTCATTCTTCATTTCATTTCATGTTTTACTTTTTGAAGGTGTTCACTGAAAAGATCATCAAGATGTCTATAAGTTCTGAGATGCTTAAATATTAATTTTCAAGCATCAGAATGTCTCATTATATTGAATCCAGTCAATGTATATTATATATCTTGTTCAGAATTCAGATCAGAGCTGAGCGTTTCTATTTGTTCCTTTGTACTTAGCTTCCCGATCAGTTAACTCGGCGACATCAACAAACAAGCTTTCCCTTCAACGGATACAGGGAGAGAAGGGGTCCTTGTAATTCATGCGTCAGCGCTCTCCAAAATCTCCTCCAGATTTAAAGATAACGGTAAAAAGTTCTACATATATAAGCCGTCAAATAGGAATGAGATAAGAGGAACGTTCTCATTGGAACATAGGGGTCTATTGTTCCGGGTCGTTAACACAAATATACTTCTGTCCCCCCTCTTACTTTCCCGGATCAGGCAGAATTTTTCAGAAACAGGTCAATCTTGGGCGATTTTTTTTCTCTCTCTCAATTTTTTTAATCACTTTGCTAAATTCTTATGCATAAATATTCGCATTTTATTATTTTTTAGATTGCATATGATCATTATTTTGTAAAAAAAAAAAATTGAAACTCGTCGAAACATGAGCAATGAAAACACATTTAAGATTTTATCCAAAGACCAATACTGTATCAAAGTATATTGAGAGTATATTGCAATATTGACGGGTAAAAAAAATTATTGCTTTTTCATGATACGAAACAAAATTTAAAAAAAATAAAATAAATGCATATGTATCATATATTAAACTAAAGCAAACAACTTACCAATAAATATAATATTGAACAGAAATTTTCTCCTGGGGAAATATAAGTTCATTGCAGTTGAAGGCGGCCGAGGGGAATAATATATACTAAAGGGGGCGTGTCTATAATGCCTCCATACTTTATTCCTCCCCAATTTAACTACGCATTTTGGTCCAAAGAGTTATGATGGTTTACTTCCTTGCCTTTGTGTAAATAATTCTAAACAGGTTGTATTTGTCTTACAAATATCTGTCATCTGCAACACCGCATTTTTTTTTTAATTTAGCGTATATTCAAACGAAGTAATTGATCGATTTCATAAATTTTCACACAGTCATTTTACAAATTTTATTAAAAAATAAACTTTAAAAGCGAGTTACACCTAAAATTAAAAAAAAAAATCCTATTTATACAAAATGTTCGAATATAGAAATGAAATTCAGATGTATATTTGCTTCAGTTTTAAAAACAATCGATCATCAGCGTAAATGAAAGATAAATTTGTCTCTGTTCATAAATTCATCAACTATTCCAGTAGGTCCTGATAGCTATATTATCCACTATGGTATTTTTATCTTTTGATTTTATATAACTATTTTGCATGACAAAGATTTACTTTGTATTAAAGGTGAGGAACTAGTAAGTGGATAGATATTGTTACCTATATTTTTAATATAATATATATCGATAAAATTATGTTCAAAACAAATAATGTTATATATGTACGATAGCTAACAGAATTCGGGAACATAAACAATTATGAAAGTTCACTTTATACCTTCAGAATTTGACACATACATCCATTTATATTATGATTTCAAGCAAATCGAAATATTATTGAAAATATTTATAAAAAAACAACAAACAAATAAAAACAAACAAACAATAAATAAGAAGCAGAAATTGCATTAATAGTAATACTTGCCTGGAAATAGATTTCCGACGAAGTTGATTTTATGTCATCGCAAAAGGTGACGATTTTCACTTGAAAAGTTCACACGGAAGCCGACTTTACATTCGGGATTCTGGAATATCACGTGACCTCTCATCAATAGAACACCTAATCTTTCACTTCCTTCCTATGTTTGTAAGATGATATTATTTTAAACGGGATTAAATTTTAGACTACCCACATATAAGATAGATCTGGGATTTTTTTCTTTGCTTGTGTAATTCGGAATATGTTCACTCAGATAACTAAAACTTCATCCGTACACTGACACCAAAATAATTTTATCCTGACAAACAGAGGAAAAAAGAGGATGGCGACCTCATTAAAGCTACTACAAAGAATTCCCATGTAAACTGTTAAAAGGATAAATAACACTAACATTTTTATTCAGAAATCAAAAATATTTCTCATCGATTTATATTCAGAAAAGTAATCTGAATCACGTTTTCCAGTAAAAGTGAAGACTTCTGTAAGATTTTGTCACATGTATGCAAACTTTTGTATAAAAATACCTAGAAAACAAAACGATTTCACATATTTAAGCCCCAGAGAAAACTTTCAATTTCTTTACATTTTAGGGATTTATTTATGTAATATCTCATCAAAATTTAATCAGTAAAAAATCTATATCAACCCAGGCATCAAATTTTTGGTCGTGTTATGTATCTGTGAAGAGGGCGGTTATTGAAGCAGATCTAAATCTGTTTTATTTTTTACAAAATCAAGAGTATACGTAGATCTTTGATAGTCAGTTAAGTTTCCGACTCGCATTTCCTCATCAGATGAGGGGAAACAAAATTAAATCGGACAATTGGCTAGCTGGGTCTACAGCAATAGAAAAGAAATAGTGTATACAGGGTGATATTTGCCCCGCATTCTTTTCGCCCTTTCAATCTTGCAAACAATTTTTCCTCGTCTTAAATTCGCTCAGTCACACTTTTCTTAAAGAAATTATACTGTATTCTTTGAATTCACCCCATAAAGAACACTTGCGCCATACAAAGTTAATAACAATTCGTTCACAACTTCAAAACTAAAAAATCAAAATTCTCCTTCGTTTTTTAAATGTTTTTATTTTATTATTTATTTATTTTTTTTTTTTTACAAAATATTGCTGTTTCAAATATTGGAGGGAAAATCCAAAGAGTTTTTTATTTCCAAAAAACGATAAAGACATCGATTTGACCTTTTGACCACTCTAAAGAAAATTCACATCCCCTGACTTTATAGCCGATTTTGGCCTCTTAAAACTGACACGTACAAATAAGCTATTTCCGTCTTTTATTGTCAAACGCTTTGCAGCAGTTTTAACAAACTTATTTATTAAGTTGTGATAGAGGACAAGTGGACACGTGCTCTTTCACCGCATGCACGTGTGTTGCGTTTTATAGGGCTAAAACTCTATCCAAAAACGTCACGGAAATGGCGCGCCCAGTTTGATAGCACGTGTTTGACGTCACGGTCTTTCTTTCTTTAATAAAGATATTTTAGAGAATGAAACGTGAAACATATTGAAATCTCCTGAAAAAGTTCTACTTGGATAGCTATATTATTGATAGAAATGCGCTCTTCGTATCGGTTTATAAAAATTCCTTTGTCAAAAAGACATCTCAAGTTATAAATTTGATATCTAAACTGTAGTAAAGTCTCAATGCATAGACTGAAAAAATTCTCATCAAATTTCATCAGTCGAATCAGATTAGACAAACCAACCTCATTTCTAGGATTTCTTTTGATCAGGATTTTAACTTTCCAGTTAAAATAAATTCATTTAAGCTACTGTATATAACATTAAAAAAATATCGTATCGACAAATGAAGTGGCCAAAAATAAATACACAAATTAATTAATTAATAAATATTAAATAAATAATTATGCTGAAAATGTTACAAATGCAACTCCTTTTGTTGGCATTTAAAAATTTCCCTACTTCTTGATGACTTCTTTAAAAACTAAAATGTTGTCCCAAATTTATATGAATTTAACATGTTAAAAGATGTCTAATGAATATTTTCTAAGCTTTAAATTGTTCTTTTTTTAAATCAGGTACATATAAGCATAATTATTTATGTCAGCAGGTCCACTATTGATGCATGGTTTGCTCCAAAAACTTTTGCATTTCCATTTACATTGCTTTCTATTGTATAAAACAAACGCACAAAGAATTTTTTGATGAAAAACAAACAAACAAACACTTGTTTGTCAATGATACTAGTAGTACTAGTATTTGTCTCTGTTTCAGACACACATTATTATTATTTTATTTTATATGGCTCTCAGGAGTGCAACACTTACACAAATTCCAAGCTCAAAGATGAAATGACCTCCTCATTCTTATACAGTAATATCAGTAACTCGAATTTGAGGGGTTAAATCCAGGGTCAAGGTCCAGAGGTCTTTGGTGGTACCCAAATAAAAGTCTTTTCGCAAGGAATACACAGGTCTGTGAAATTTAAAAGCCAAAGCCCCAAACACTCAAAAGTTAAAGTTTTTGCGGACAAAACAGACAGACGGACAGAACAAAAGCTGTATACCCCCGAATCTTCGATTGCCGGGCATAACAATGACCACGAGTTTATAGGGAAACGAGTTAAACTAGATGCTCTAATCTGGTAATGTATGATTATATGGTAAAAGAATAGTCCAAGATTCCCTAACCCTCATGGTGAAATTCCAAAAAGAAACTACAAAAAAAAAAAAAATACTAGTAGTCAAACTCTTCCCTGTGTAACTCTGCGATACTAGTAATAATAATGGAATGAATATATCCCCCCCCCCCCCAAAAAAAGATGTGTCTGTGAAACACTGATGCCCCCGTAAAAAAAAGATTAAACTTTTCAAAAAAGGAAAAAAAAAAACTTTATCCATAGGACCTATTACAAGAAAGCTAAAAGAAACACCAGAACAGTGGTTGATAAGCTACGATGGGAAAGAAGTGAGACTATAGATATATTTAACTCGAAATAAATGGCAATGAGTATAGAAGATTTCAGGCTTCCTGGTGAAGTTGAGTGATAACACCAAAAGAATGTCGACTTATGGAAAAACATTGCAGTAAAAATCTTAAGCTCTTTAAAATGATAGCTCTAAATGTGTTTGGGTTAACATAAAACTACATGACGAAGATTTCACATATATACCCAGTAATATATTCATGTAGCTTCTAATGTATCTGTTTTTGACAATGAATGTGACAAAATCCTAAAGTTAGAAATTATTTGAAATTCAGAAGGATTGCATAATCATGATGTAATTTGAAATTTTAATGTACCTCCACACAATTCACATTTTGCATCAGAAACTATATTTTTAAGAAAATTGGAAACGAAGTTACGATGGTATCAACTGAAATTAATTGTACTTTGTATATAAGTGAAATTAGATAAGGAACAGTATCCAAGCTTAAAGGTCAATTAAACAATACAAATCAGGTGTAGATGAAGCTCGTACCTCTATTTAAAGCATCCGAGATGGAATCAGGTGCCATTGAATAGTGAACATCCCCTACTAAGGGGATTATAATAGCAGACTATGTATTGAGAAGGATATTTTGCAAGCAGATAGGAAATCAACAGGCAAACACTATATCGAAGAAAGATTATTAGTGTACGTTAAAAAAACACGTGAAATTATAGTTATTCCTAAAGATGAACTTACATTCTTTTAGTTAATGACATGCCTCAGAAATTAATTTAATTGCCCTCTTAACCTTGAAATACCTCCCCCGTGGCACCTGGTCCCACCTCTGATGTTTTAGCGGTCCGTGATTCAATTGCTCCTGATTTGTTTCAGAGGTCCATGTTTGCCCTTCTCTTGGTTTGTATTGTTTGAATGAACTTTTGAGGTAGAATGTTGTTCGTTATCTTTATACCTTATTTCACCAAACAGTAACAGTATTCAGAGTGTACATAAGAAACAGCTGTTCCAAGTAACTCTGTAACAAACTATAGAAAGGAAATGAGGTATTCGCAACGAAAATTTGAAAACGAATATTTCAAGAAGACTAAAAAAAGAGGGAAAATTACAAATTTGCTAAGATGAGAAAGAGAGGATACTAGATTCACTAAACTGATATTATTCGACAAAAGAGTAGCAGAGGAGGTCCAACCATAATGATGAATTAAATTGGATAATAAATTTGAAAAAAAAATCCAGCGGAAAGCGTAAAAAGAATGTCAACCTATCAAACAACGCAAATCTCAAGCACCTTATCATGATCAGTCTAAATATGTGGATTAACTTCAAAATTACATGACATAAAAATCTAGATTTTATCAAAAAATAAGCTCCACGGAAACA